AATGTGGTCAGAAGCAGATTCTGGTGGCCGGCGTTGGCCAAGGACTCCCGGGAGTTTGTCAGGGCCTGCCCCGACTGCGCCAAAGCAAAGGCTTCTCGTAGACCCCCTGCCGGTCTTCTACGACCTTTGCCCGTCCCACACCGGCCCTGGTCTCATCTGAGCATGGATTTCGTCACAGGCTTACCTCCATCTAACTCCTTTAGAGTTATCCTCACAGTCGTGGACTGATTTTCCAAGATGGTCCATCTGGTCCCCCTCAAGAAACTCCCCACCGCATCTGACATGGCCGATATCTTGGCACGTGAGGTCTTCCGCCTCCATGGTCTTCCACAAGACATCGTCTCGGACAGAGGACCCCAGTTCGTGTCCAGGTTCTGGAAAGCTTTGTGCCCGGTTGGGGATTCAGGTGAGCCTCTCCTCTGGGTTTCATCCACAGACCGACGGACAAACGGAGAGACACAACCAAGAAATGGAAACCAAGCTACGCCTCTTGTGCCAGGACGACGCCACAACCTGGTCCCAGAACCTGCCTTGGGTGGAACACGCTATGAACTCTCTACCCACGACTGCGACAGGTGTGTCTCCCTTTTTCACTGTTTTTGGGTATCAACCCCCTGTGTTTTCCATTCAAGAGACCCTGGCCCACGCCCCCTCTGCCTATGCCGCCACCCTCAGATGTCGCCATGCCTGGTGGTCCGCTAGGCGCCGTCTCCTCCAAGCCTCTGCAGTATATGCCCGCTCGGCCAACAGGCAGCGCATTCCGGCTCCCGCGTATAGGGCAGGTCAGAAGGTCTGGCTGTCGACGGCCGATATCCCGCTCAGGGTGGACTGCAGGAAGTTGGCTCCCCCTTTCATTGGTCCCTTCCCCATTTCCAAGGTCATCAACCCTGCTGCTGTTCACCTCCGCCTTCCCAGGGCCCTTAGGGTCCACCCCTCTTTCCATGTGTCAAAGGTGAAACCTGTGGTGTCCTTGTCTCTCGTGCCCTCCTCCGGGCCCCCTCCGCCCGCCCGGCTCCTTCCTGGTGGTCCGGTCTGGGCTGTGCGGCGGGTCCTCCGTTCCCGGCGCCAGGGCCTTGGGCTTCAATACCTGGTGGACTGGGATGGTTTTGGTCCTGAGGAGCGGTCCTGGGTCCCCGCCCACCACTTCGTCGACCTCTCTCTCCTCCGGGACTTCCGCCGCTCCCGTCCTGGCCGGCCGGGTGGGCCGTCCGGTGCCGGCCCTTGTGGGGGGATTCTGTCATGCCACCACTCCAGCCAGGCCCGGTTTCCCCAGCAACCACAACCAGCTCATCATCTACCTGATTCAAACCACCTGTCTCACATTAACTCATCAGCTCCACCTGCAACCACCTCTATATAACATCAGGAGAAACACCAAGCCAGTGCCAGATTTTTGAAAGCATTTTGTTAGTAGATTCTCCAGCATTCTAAAACCCTGCCTAAACGTCAAGATCCTGACCTTGCTTCTGAACCTCGACCTTGCCACCTGCCTGCTCCCTGACTGGATTATCTCATAGTTTCTGATCTTCTGGACTCCTGACCTTGGATCTGTTACATGGACTCTGCCTCTGGATTTCCCCTCCTGACCAAGCCTTCTGCTTCTGCCCTTCCTACAGACTGGTAACACTCCCCTGTGTGTTCTCAAATAAAAACTTTAAAGCGTATTACTGTGTCTGGTGCTTTCACGGGTCCTCCAGCCCTGGTTGTTACAGTTTCAGTGTCCAGCTGCTTGTAAGGCATTATGTTTTAATGCTAGAGTTGGAGGCTGGCGCTCTAACAGCTTGGGGTTTAAAAGTAAACAGCGCTGCATCCATTCACAGTGATTTTGTAGCTTCTGGGACTTCCTGTCTTTTGATCCACGTCGTTTCAAAGTAAGGAAAGACGTGTCAAGATGAAATTATTTTGTAACATTACAACAAATGTGTATAGAATTTTTTTAAAACTAATCTTTTCTTTAATGAATAAATACGAGCTCCCCCCACACCCCCCCCCACCCACCCCCCCCCCCACACACACACACACACCCCACCTGGCCCTACTGAGGAATAAGTGTTGTAATATAAATATAAATAAATATTTTAAGCATTATCATCATAATAAACTACATTATCTTCAGGTAAAAAGTATGAATTAAAAAAATGTGATTACAGTAACAAATGAGGCAAGGTGGAGAAACAAGGGCCCGGGTGGGATTTGATCCTCAGACTCCCAAGTGTGAGTCAAGCACACTAACCAGTCAGCCGAAGGGACATCCCCATGGCTATGTGGCCATGGAGCATGATCAATCGGGATACGGTGACAGGATTCTCAACCTGTCACAACTTCCCCCTCCTTCCACAGGCTCCAGCACAGGGTGCCACAAATTTCAAATCCATGGACCTACTTCTAATACTTGGACATCTTGACTAAGATTGGAAAACAGCAACGTGACTCTACTACTGACTCAGTTTGCTTTGTAACATTTAAGTTTTATCTCACAAATAAGCCTGGAGGAGTTCTGCTGTGTGGTGAAGTTGCTAATGCTAATGGTTAGCTTCTACTTATCGAGACTCTAAAACAACAACAGACTTCCCTGTTGCAAATCAAGATGGGTGATGGATGAACCATTTCAATCAGGTGAGTTAGAAACATGAATCATCTGAAACTCACAGAATATTAGCACTCAGCGACTGGAGTTGGTGGTTATTTAGTTGCCATTTCATTTATTTGTTTTAAAGCCCCTTCTGCGACCGACGCGGACGCCTAAGATGCTTAACACAATACAAACAAAAAATAAAACCATTTAAAAAATGTAACAATCACAAAACCATCATAGAAAGATTAAGAGATAGAAGTTAAAATAGACAAGAAGATAAAGCAAAAGGAATAAGAGGCCGAAGCAACAAAACCAAGCTAATAATGCTAATCCTGGAATCCCTTGACATAAAAGCTCAAAAACCTTAAAAACCATCAATGGAGGTGCACTACCAAAGGCAACTGGCTCCAAAGTGTAGAAGCCAACACCGAAAACGCACTGTCCCCCATAACTCGCACTTGGAGCGCGGAGCCGTCAACAGCTCCCTGTTGGCCGAGCAAAGGGCCCGCGAAGGGACATGTCTATGCCAGAGCCAATCCTTGATGGGCTCTGTATGTCAGTACGAAGACCTTAAATTTTGCCCTGCATTGCACTTGCAGCCAGTGAAGGGATGCCAACACAGGAGTGATATGGTCCCTGCGTCTAGTCCCTGTCACAAACCTAGCAGCAGTTTGAAGACACTGAGAATGGATCTAATCTACTTAAAAAAAAATTGGTTTTTGTGTCAGAAAAACAGAGTTAGCCCGACAACACAAACCAACTAATCTACTGCTGAAAGGCTCAAACAGCAAAAGATTCCACATGTGGTGAAAAAAATCTCATGGACATACCAGTTTTGGTCCAGATGTGTGTAGTTTGTGAACACATGGCAAAAACTACACACTACATACAAACCAATTTCAGACACAACGTTTCCTGGTCAGGCTGGGAAATCTTACAAAAACTCGTGAGATCAAAAGGAACTTCTGAGTGAAGAAACACAGTGGAGGTAGAGTGTCCTTTACCTCATTTTCTGATATACATCACACTGAACAGGTAGCACTCTTGTTTGTCCTCAAAAATTGGACTAATTCAATCCAACGTGTTTGATGTCCCAGATTTATTATTGGAGTGGTCCCAACATGCTTCCAAGAAAACCGCGGCACTCTCAACACACCACAGATGGCAGGAATATCTGGTAAAATTATTTTTACATTACAGTAATCGGGTGTGTCCTCAAGATTGTTGGAAGGGGAGTAGCGGGTAAAGATTTGTTATAATCATCTTACCATGTGGACTGAAAGTTGAAACATGATGTCCGTTTGAATTGACAGATGTTTAAACTCTTGCGGGCTATTGTTGCACATTCTCCTCAAACCATTTCTGGCCTTAAAGTGACAATGTGTACTTTCCCTGGCGAGGGGGCACTACACACCTAAATCATTGCGAGGAAGCAGTATTGTTGTGTTCGAGTAGGGCTTTACCAATGGATGGCCTTTAGGGTCTATAATCCCAGAGAGCGCAATTTGCGAGCGAGTGCTTTGTCAGCGGCAATGAGTGAAGAGTTAAATCTGTAAAACAACGTTTATGAATGACGAAAGTTTTGTAATCATTTGTTACAAGTCAGTAAATGCTTTTTGTCCTCACAGGTTTACGTAGAAAGAAACATGGCGTCTGATAGGGTGTCGCCCAGTGACTTAAGCCCGAATCCAATACTCACACTGTGCCATACGGTCTTCTCTGAAGTGCACTGAGAGGAAGTGCGCAGTAAGGCTTCAAGTGCGTGGTTCACAAGTATGCAAATAATTGTCGAACTGGGACAGCTTTAACAACTTTAACAACTTTCAAACAAACAACCAAATTACTTGAAATAAATTTACATACATTGCTGCTTTGACTAAAACATTTGGAGCTTCAATTATTCGTCCCAAAATGAACTACTTTCATTTGAAAATATGTATTTTCAGAAAAGGCACTTGAGCCTTTTTTCCGGCAGCAATGGATTGCTGGTAAACCCCGCATCGATGCAGACTTGGATGGATCAAATGTGGATCAAGGGTGCAAAAGGGGCATGATCAACTTCCACATTTGAGAATCGGGACACCCTACACACTCACGCCTCTGGTCGGGATGGCGCAATTGAAGTGCGGAAGTGCGAGTATTGGGATTGGGCCTTAGACCCCCTCCCATGTCGTTTAGACCTGATTTTTATTGCCTTATGTTACAAAGCCTCATTAATTAATTTTCACCACGTTTTGACGGATATTTTCAGAGATTAGTAGTAAAAACTACACATTGTCACTTTAAAGCTGCCAGATGGACTACTTGGATTACTACCTTCATCAAAAACCTGCTACTCAAAAAAACTTGTGAGATAATGCGTAAAGCTCACAGCATTCATTTGAATAACTTCTGTCTTTTTGATGACTTTGATGGGTTGCCTCACCTGGAGAAAACAGGAACGGGCCAATATTTCACTTCATCACCAAAGACCTGACGAAGGTTCTTGCTAAAGCCAAGACTAAAGCCGTTCTTGTCCGTGCCGTGGCGAAACGCCGGAGCCCGTACAGCCTCTGAAATGACAGAGAGGATGGATCTATCCCTTCTTGTGGCATCAATGGAATAGCTCTGGATGAACGTGTCTTTGTTGTGCAGATCTCACACTGTTCCACCAGGTGTGACTTCTCTTTCTGAACCACATATCAGTGTCTGTTTCTAAGCTGCTTACTGCTCTGAGGCTTGTGTCTTTGCATTACACTGTAACATACTCCTCGGGATAATCCACTCTGCTCAACGCACAGAGACAAAGTGCTCCACTGTGCTCTCATAATGAGAAACCTCGGGCTGATAACAGCCTTCTCTAGCGGTACATCAAACCTCTGCACCGATGAGGATGGCGACTGACGGTGGGAGAAAAGACAAATTTGGAGAAAGATCAACCATCCTTGATGCAGACATTGTACAGTGAGCAGAGTGGAGGCCGCCAGACCAAGCCGGTCTTCAAATGGACAGACAGGGAAGATAATACATACCCAGGGTGGATCTGTTCTTGCACACCAGCCAGCAGTGATAGATGAAAAGTGATGCCAGGCTGACGGAAAACATGGAAGCTGAGAAGAACAGGAACAGGATGTGGAACTTTGCCTGGGTGTCTGGGAGGCCTCTCTGAGAGAAAAACAGCACGTTGACCACTGCAGTTCACTTGCAATCTTCACGCGTCTAAGATCAGGCTCAAATGTCCACATATCATTTAATAATCGGTGCTGAAGGTTCTGGAATGTCTTTAACTCAAAAAGGCCAAAGACTATGACCTTACTGTATTAGCTGGTTGTTTCTCTTTGCTAGCATAAAAAAGGATCTACATGGCAGAATTCATTGGACTGACTCATCTGTCAGCCTTGGCTGAAAGGAAATCAATCAGGATGTTTAGGAACAACCCAGGAACCACCAAGATCTACTATGAACTAGAACCTGATGGAACACCAGTGTCTGTGTATAGAAACCAGTAAAACCAGTTACACACCATCACGGACTGAGGGGACCTACAATAAAAGATGTTCCTGCAGAAATAGAGGCACCTTCAAACTTTAGTGAAGTCCTCACCTGTCCACATTGGCAAGACAAATGTCTTCTGGAGAAAAGTCTTGAGGACAAAGTTAGATATGTTTGTCCACAATGACAATAACTTTGTTAGGTGGTCAAAATGAGACTTCCAAATTTAAAATTACTGTCACAGCTGTCAAGCACAGTGGAGGTAGCATCATGATGTGGTTCTGGTGCAAGAATGGAACAATAAAGAAAATTGTTATCTTCATCTAAAATCCTTGATTTGAACCTAGCTGGAAATTTGTGAAATTTGTTTTAAAGCCGGGAACGTGTCTGAAAACCAACCAGGTGAATAAGGTAAAAGAAAGACCCGGCAAGGATTGTGATTAGAATCTGGGTGCAAAAAAAATTCTATGCATGTTCATTGTGCAACTTTACTTATATTTTAATGCATTTGCATTGGTCTCTAGTAGGAATCAATGCCTAGGAACGTTTTTCCTGGATGGGGGGGGGGGGGGGGGGGGGGGGGGGGGGGGCTCCAGGGGTGGTGTTCCTGTTTGAGGACGTAGAAGTTGCCGGAGGAGAGAGCGGCAGAAGATGGCAGGATTCGGAGTCTTATTTCCTGAGATTTGGACATCTCACCTGTGATTGGATAACAGGAACACGACTCTACCACCGCTTTATCTCCACAAATAATACAAACCTGGAGGAGTTCTGCCATGTTGTGGAGTTGCTAATGGGTGAGTCCATGAATGTTAAGTGACAGAGTGACGTAGAGGTGTGAGGCCGTTCTGAACTGAGCGTTTTTCTTTCAGAAGCTAATGCAGGAAATAGGGGTAGGAGACTATTTTCACATTTAGCCTACATGTAAAACTAAGAGTGGCTGATCATTAAAAAAAACTAAAGAAAAAAAAAGATTTATTGGTAAACATGCTCTTAAAAATAGCTGAAATGTGAAGATGTTTAAACCTGCACGTAAAATTTTGACCCTGAGTGGAAAAGAGAAAACCAATAACAAATCTGCTGTTTATTCATGTTTTTAACAATTCTTAAGGTTTAATGTTGTTAAATCCTTAAAATGAAAATAAATAAATACAAATTCTACAAAATCTTCTAAAGCCCAAGCCATCTCAACTATGACATACATGGGTTTAATGTAAACATTTGAATATAGGCTGAAACAGAAGGGTGAGGGGAATGGGTCAATTACTCGCCTTGCTTTCTAATGATGTGACATGGAAAAGGTTAAGGTACCTTCAGCTTAGCAGGTTAAATATGACCTGAATCATCACAACACATATGGAGATTTTAACCCTGTCAATACTTTACTGGACAGATATTTATGTACATGATCTCTGGTTTTATCATGTATTGCACTTTAGGCAGCCTTAGATGGTGGCATTAAGGCGCTTTATGCATAAATAAATGAAAATGAAATGAAAATATCGACCCTCTAGTGGAGGTTCTGAGTACTACGGGTCATAAGTGCCAATTTTATTGTTGAAGCTAGCCTAAAACATTTTAATGCCTCTTTACAGCGTTCTAACGTAGCACGGATATTGTGCTCCAGACAAGCTGGTTCCCAAAGTCAGAGACTGTCTTGGTCGGCTTGCTTCTCACACCAAACACTGTCAGGAACCTTGGCGTGACCTTTGACCCAGCTCTCACCCTGGATTCTCATGTCCGTTCTCTTGTTGGCTCTTCCTTCTTCCATCTCAGGAACGTTGCTAAGCTGAGTCCCATTCTGTCCCGCTCTGAACTTGAGACAGTTCTCCACACCTTCATCTCCTCACGCTTAGACTACTGTAACTCTCTTTTCACGTGTCTGAGCAGAACCTCCCTGAACCGTCTACAGGTGGTTCAGAACGCCTGTGCTCGGCTTCTGACCAAGTCCTCCAAACACACCCACATCACCCCGCTTCTCCTCCAGCTTCACTGGCTGCCAGTCAACTTCAGGGTTCATTTCAAGATCCTGGTTCTGGTCTATAGGGCCTTACATGGACAAGCACCATCTTACATTGGTGATCTTCTTAGTCCCTACACCCCCAGCAGGTCCCTGAGGTCCAGTGATCAAAGCCTACTGGTTGTGCAGCACCAGGCTAAAGACCAAAGGTGACAGATCATTTGCTGCTGTGGCCCCCAGACTCTGGACCTCTCTCCCCCTGAGCCTGAGATCAGTGGACTCAGTGGTCTCCTTTAAAAACCAGCTGAAAACTCACTTGTTCAAGCTTTTGTATGACCTTCTTCACCTCTCTCTCTTTATTCTGCTCTCCCCACCTATTCCACCTTCCTCATTAGAGCTGAGGAAAATAATCAAATAATCGATGCATCGGGATGCGGACATAAACGATTCTGCATCGTAGAAGAGTACGCCATAATCGATTATAGTGGAATGTAGTTTTGTTTTTTTAACGGCGGCACCAGGGCAGCATCCAAATCTGTCAGAGTGAGCCTCCTCCACTTTTACCTCCGCCTTAATGTGGTACTGCAGGGCTTAGCGCTGGAGTTGTCACCCGAGAGAGAGAGAGAGAGAGAGAGAGAGAGAGAGAGAGAGAGAGAGAGAGACGGTCTGCTCACACAAGAGAGACGATCGGAGGACGCTCTCCCAAACGATGCTCCAAACACGCATTATTATTTTCATAATTTAATTATTATTTCTCCTGGAAGCGCTCAGTCAGACTGCTTGTTGTAATGTCGGGAGATCCGGTCTTGGGGAGGGGGCGGGGTCAATGACGGCAGCTGCAGCGTAATCGTCTGTCTCTTTTATTTAGGGACACGGAGAAGTTAAAAGGAGAGAGAAATAGAAGTTCTTGTTCCACTTTATTCTTTTGTTTCGTTTCTCTGTATGTCTTGCACATGTGGTAGAAATGACAATAAATGACTTTGATAAACTGATGTTAAATTCAGCTTAAAGAGAAACTTGGAGGAAGCTTTGGTCAATTTGAGTTAAAAGGAGACTTGTCTCCTATCTGCTCCTCCAGAGACAACACGGACATGAGGGTCACATGGTGAGGGTCCCACAGGACAGGTTAGTGGAAAGGTTAGTGGTTAGCTGGTTAGTGAAGGAGATCCATCAGCTGGGTAATTTAATCCTAATCCAGCCCACAGCCTTCTGCTGGTGTTATCAGGAAGAATAAAACACATCTTAAATATTATTGGAAGTGTAGAATTTGTTTTATGTTTTATTATTTTCTGCATCAAACAGAACTTGATTCATTCTCCAACATTTCAGAAACGAACCACTGGGTTCAAATGAAACTAAGTCAAATATTTCATTTGGTGTTATTTCTGACACCCTTCAACTGCGGCATAAATATTTGACTCTAGAGCTGCTCAGAGACATTAAACACTCCTATATGAACCCATTATGTATTTTATTATTACATTATGTGTCCTGTAGGTTTTCAGTACCTTTTTTAGATTTTGTGACTTTTAGCAAAGCGTGTTTTTCTCAGCCTGAGGCGTGGTGTTGAATGAGGAAACAGATGTTTTACTTTGTTAAATCTTCTTAAATGTTTAAAATGTTTTGTCCTAACCTGTTGTGGATGGAGAGCTTTTGAGGGATGGCAGGTTGTGTCAATTACGTTTTAGATTTAAAAAAAAGCAATTATCTGACATCTTCTATTTATCGATGAAAACTAATCAATATGAAATAATCGTGATGCATCGTGATGCATCGGGATATTGAATCGAATTGAATCGTTGACCCAATAATCGTAATCGAATCGAATCGGGAGACAAGTGAAGATTCACACCTCTAATCCTCATGACCAGAGTGAATGACAGATTCCGGTCCGCGTCCGTTCCGCACTGGGTGTGATGAAGCTGAAGTCTGTTAATCACAGCCTGATTAATCCCAGGTGTGAAGAAACAACTAAAACATGGAGGATGGTGGCCCTCAAGGGGCCAGAATTCCCCACCTCTGGTTTAGACAGTACAGGAAGTTATTTCAAAACTTTTACTTGAGGGTAACCAAACTTTTACATGCCACAATAAAGCAGTTTCTACTTAGGCGACACCAACTGGCTGCTTGTTTCATACCAGGTATTCTTTCAGACGGAAATGTGCTCTGCCTCCAGCCTTGGGGAGAAGATCAGAAACCACCAAAGACTGTTAGGGTTGTTAGGATGTTTGTTATTCCAGAAGGACAACAACAAGACTTACTGTCCAAAACTTTATGAAGTACTGCAGGTCTGTTGCTGTTATAAAAAGGCAGTAGAGCAGGGAGTACGCCAGGAACAGCATGAAGAACTTGTAATTGGAGAATCCCACACAGTTGTTCACCCTGAAAAACAAACAGACTCATGTTGGTGATGAGAACTGTTGGTCATGTGCTCGGGCCGGAAGCCCCAAACGCCGACCTGAGTAACATCCCTCCATGTCTCCACAAAATGATGACAAATTCAAATATTTTCTTTTGTTTGTGGTAACAAAAATATTTTGAGTTGAATGGATAACGAATTCTAATTTAATCTGACTCAAGGTTGATGAGTAGAATTTATTAATAAATTTAATTTCTAAAGACGTAGAATATTTTGTTGTGCAGCTCAAAATTTTTGAGGCAATTGATCGCCTCAAAAGTTTTGAGTTGTGGGAACTTATTTGGCTTACAGTGTGGTAACTAAAATATTTTGAGTTGATTGGATGAGAAATTTTAATTTAATAAACTTCAAATGTATGAGTAAAATTTATTAAGAAATTTAATTTACGAAACTTAAAATTTTCTGTATCAAAACTCAAAAAAATTGAGGCAATTGATTGCCTCAAAATTTTTGAGTTCTGGGAACTTATTTGGGTTTACAGTGGTCAGCTTTCTGTTATTTACAGGCTTTATGTATCAGGACAGAATAATATTAATGATCTGAGCTCTTGGGCTTTCACGAGGCCTGACCCTGGGGCGAACTTGCTGCTGTGTTCACTTCTTTGAAGGCTGTCAGCTGTTTACGTATCTCAAAAGCATAAAGTCCAAATAGTTTGGAAATGACCTTTAACCCTTCTCAGACAAGTTTTTAGAAGCAACTTCTTCTCTGAAACCACTGCTGATGTCCGGTGAAATCCCAAAACTCCTGCTTTTATGGAGGAAATCTGGTAAAGACCCAGTCAGACTAATCATCTCCTGAAGGGTGGGCTTTCTTTTCTCCATAACCGTAAATGAAAAAAAGCTAGCAGACAAACTGATGTTTAACAAAGATTGAGTGACTGAACTCAGATTTATTCCCTCTCCCTCTGTTCCAGTAATCTATCCTCCAGCGGGAACGTGGAGGCCCCGCGTGTGTTTGTGTGTGTGTTTATTAACGGAGCATCACTACGTACACGTACCAGGGGCAGTGGTGATCCATCTTCAGGATGCATCTGCAACGCAGCATGATCAGACATCAGTGTGATTAAATTTTACTCCCTCTGTCAGCATGCTTTGTATGGTGGGGTCTGTTGTGTGTAGGTGCGGGGGCAGAGGGCCGTACTTATCGCACACTGAACAATGGTGACATCGATCAGGCTTCAGCAGCTGGCACCGCTCACAGAAACGAATGGCTGTGGAGACAGGGCCAATTCAATCACACATCATCAGCAGTAGCAGCAGAGGCCTCTCTTAACGGGGGCGCGGAGAGGTGCCCCGCCTCCTCCTCTACATCAGCAGCAGCACTGACCTCCAGAGTTGGTGCGGGTGTAGATGGGCAGGTCCGTGGCTATTCTCCTCAGGATTTCCTGCTGAGATTCTCCTCGATCTTCACGCTCCAGCAGCTCCTTGTCAGAGTGTGACAGCTGAAACTGGCAACGGCAAACAGCAGTCAGGATCTATCAGGGTGTGACGTGAAGAACAGATTTAAAATAGTTATTGCAGTTGTTCTGCCAGAGAAGCTAAATGCTGTTTCTACGGATTACCAGGCAGAGAGGGGTTCCCTTCGTTTGTCTTCATGCTCTGGCAGGAAGCAGAACAGAGCAGCGATACGACATTCAGCTGCAGAGCGGCTTCCTGACTGAACACTGGAAACAAACAACTGGAACTCCTACAGACAGCACGACGTTTATTACAGCCGCACAAACCTCCGGTGATGCATCGACTGCATCTCATAAAGGAACTCCGTCGTGATGGCTGAGCTTCGCGTGTGTGTGTGTGTGTGTGTGTGTGTGTGTGTGTGTGTGTGTGTGTGTGTGTGTGTTCGCTACTGCTGCAGGCACTTCCACCAGGAAGCTGGAACCCGTGCACCGACCTCCCGTCGCGCTCCATCACCCACGATGCATCCCGCTCAGACACACTCACCTCCTTTAGCGGGTTCATGGGTGGGGTGAAGATGGTTTTCCAGTACGCCCACACAAACATGACGAAGATGACATGGTACGCCAGCAAGTACACGACTGCAAACAACAGGAGCAACTGTCACTTTGCGTTGGATCGTTTAATATCAATCATGTCTCCGTTTTTTATCATCCCTAAAAACTCAGTTATCTTCTCATTATGGGAACATTCAGTGTTTATCAAAAACACATGGTGGTAGTTGTCTGATCTGAGTGGTAGAAGACTGGAAATGTTCTTCAGTGAGACAAAACCATTTTCCTCGTGGGTCTGTGGTGCTTTTATCCATCTGTGTCTATCTAAATGTGCTAACGTATCCATAACTAGAAACCCACGCACAACACAAATGCTCCTTTATTGCTCTCACAGATGGATTGCCTTCCGCATTATTTATGTGTAACCCATCCAGTAGTTGTGCAGATATTTCAGTCTGAAGGGAATCAGCATCCCTGGAAGCAGCTAGAAAAGGCTTCCCATCACCTCCTTTCTAAAACCCATCATAAAGCTGCTTTAATGCCAACATCACACTTTCAGAGGTGATTACAGGGTTGTGGAGGCGGGCCGGCCTCCTGCGGCTCAAAACCTCTTCTCAACATCAAACAGGAAGAGGGCGGCTGTAAGTCTCTTACCTTTCTCTCCTGTGTCCTCTATGGATTCTGAAAAAAAGACCAAATGCAAAAGACCCGGTTAGGTTCAATAGGAGGATAAATCACATGATTGTGTTTTTGCTTCTGCATCTTCAGCTTGATAAGGAAACACTGGTGGTGCGTTTGTGTCTGATTTCAGAACAGGAAAGTTCAATAACTGCTGACTCTGGTTTAAAAGCTCACAGGCCTCTTAAAGGTAATCACTCCTGTGGCCCAAATAAAATAAAACCTCCTTCTGTGTGTGTGTGTGTGTGTGTGTGTGTGTGTGTGTGTGTGTGTGTGACTTCCCAGTAACTCACCAACGCCAATCTCTGCCCGATTTTAAACAACTGAGGGGAAGTGGGTCGACCACAGGTTGCTCAAGCTGAATTATGTAAGCTAGACAATGGGATTAACGGAGTTGAGGAGCATCAGCTGATGGCTCATTCACACAAGCGAGTCCGTTGTTTGAGAGCAGAGCGAGCGCTGGCGGCTCAAGCAGCTGCTGTCCTGCTGTTTCTCGTCTGCTCTCCCCGTGTGACCTGAATGCATCTCATGACGAAGCAGCACAATTGTAAACAAAATGAAAAACTTCTGATGCTGCAGGGAAACAGCTGCAAGTGCCACTCATGTTAAAGGATTACATTAAAAGCACACAACTATGTTTTACTTAAAATAACGATTCCCTTCTGAATCACCTCAACAGCAAAACCCTGGAGGTCATCGGCGCCATAGCTCCAGAAATGCTAACAAAAAGCTCCATGGAGGTTCACTAAATGAGTCAGAAACATGGACGTAATTTTGGGGGGGGGTCAGGGGGGACATGTCCCCCCCACTTTTTCCAAAGTCAAGTTTTGACCCCTGCACTTTTTACCATCCAAAAACAATATTACGCTATATTAAATTGACACTGGTTGAGCTCTAGGACCAAGCAGAAAACAACTGTTTGTGTTGAAGCCTGTTTCCCATTAGAGCATACTGTAAAGATACCCCCACACACACACACACACACACACCCGTGTCCCCCCCACTTCTAAAGTGAAAATTACATCCATGGTCAGAAAGAAAAGAGCGAATGAGCGTAAACGGAGGAAACGTAACCTTCCTGATCACTATCAGCCCAGACAGCAGCTGCGTACTTACAACTCTGAAGTAAACAAGGCGAGACACGACTTTTTCTCTAAAGTGATCAACATCAACATTAACAACTATAACTAATCATCCAACATAGTTGGCTCCTGATTTCATGTCCCAATCTACGTGTCTGCATCCTTTCTCATTGTGAAAATCTTAAACATCAGATTAGCCACTCACAACCAGCCGCTGCTACAGCCACACAACAACTAGAACGCCACTTTTCCATGTGACTAGTGCAAAACCACTAGAGGACATCGTTAAGAGCTTCAACTCATCTAGCTGTTGTTTGATATGCTACCAACTAACTTAAATGTCTTTAATTACATGAAAGCTGATAAACTGAAGATTGTTAACTGCTCCTTAATGTCAGCTATTTTTCCTAATTCACTGAAAACTGCTGCTGTTAAACCTCTACGGAAGAAAAGTAAACTAGATCCCTTAGTGACGAATAATTACAGACCAGCCTCTAATCTGCCCTTCGTTGGAAAAATGATTGCAGTTTTGACCCAGTTGAGAAACTTGGAGACAAACAACCTCCTAGATGGTTTTCAGTCAGGCTTTAGACAACACCACAGCAATGAAACTGCACTGAATAAAGTATTAAATCACATCCATATTAATACAGATTCAGGCAAATCATCTGTTTTAGTGATGCTCGATCTCAGTGCAGCTTTTGATTCTGTGAACCACGATATCCAATTATGACACACTAATGAACTGGGTGGGACTTTCAGGCACAGTCCATAGTTGTTCCAGTCATAGCTCTCAGGCAGATGTTATGTTGTTGTTTCCATTGGTGAACACAGATCAAAGCAGATCACCCTGACATGCGGTGTCCCCCAAAGCTCGATACTTGGACCACTGCTTTTCCATCTCTTCATACTCCCACTGGGCCAGGTCATAAACAATAACATCACCTACTGAATCTGGTCCCCTAGACCCCCTCTGTCAGTGCCTAGAGCAGGTTAATGACTGGATGCACTCAAGTTTCTTTCAGTTAAACAAAGACAAGACTGAAGTTATTGTCTTTGGACATAAGAAGAATTGGATCGAAGATATTTCTCAACTTGGCTCCAAATGAATAAAAAAAAAGAATCAGGTTAGAAATCTTGGTGTTACCATTGATTTAGACCTGAGCTTCACTGGTCACATTAAAGCTATAACTTGATCAGCGTTTTGTCGTCTCCATCAGTTAGCAAGACTCTCAGAGGTCTCATGTCAAAACAAGACCTAAAGAAACTCATTCATGCATCCATCTCCAGCAGGCTGGACTACTGCAATGGTCTTCTAACTGGTGTTCCCAAAAAAGCTGTAAAACAACTGCAGCTTATTCAGAATGCTGCTGCTAGAGTCTTAACAAGAACCAGATTAACAGAGCACATCACCCCGTTCTTAAATTTCAATGGTTACCAGTAAACTACAGAATCGACTTCAAAGTGCTTCCACTAGTCTAGAAATCTCTCGATGGCATGGGGCCAGAATACATGTTGGATTAACTTCATGTTTGAAGCGTGCTTTACAAATAGAGCTGCCGTGCCTTGCCTAATGAAGTAACTATACTTAGAATCATTCTTATTTAAAGTTACATTTAAGTTTTCAAAATCACATCTAAATGCACAAATCTAATAAACTAAACACATTTACTTACATCTGTGTTTAAATTGGGATAAAATATTGTCTTTTCTAACACATTTTTTGGATTAAAATCTAAATTTTATGCGCTAGAGTTTATAACATTTAGTTATTTGCAAATATTATGAAGTCAAATCTAATAAGTAAATCCAAAAGTTTGAATCTAAATAAAATGTGGTGATAGTAGACTAAATATTTAAATACTTATCTAAACCAACCTTTTATGCTCTACACAAAAACGTAATCAAAAATAATATTTAAAGTGAAACTAATATTTAGAATAAAATCTAAATAAGCTCAAATCTAAACATATGAAGGCAAGTCCAATCATTGAAATCTAAAAATAAATGTGGCAGGTTTAAAATAAATATTTAGAATCTAATATAAATATACAAAGTAAATATCAAACTATTTAGCAACTTGTATGTTAAAAATAATTAGATATTTAAAGTTAAATATGAATGTTGAAATTTAGATACACATGTTTTTCTAAAACATATTTCATAATGTAGCATTGCATGTTTTTATGATTAGACTCAACATTTAAAGTTAAATAAAAAATGTATTAAATCTAAATGTTAAAAAACATGTGCTGGTTTCAAAAAGGATATATTTTTTAGATTATTGTTTTATTTCTGTCTCATTCTGAATATAGATTTGGAATTGTCATTTCCTAAATAAACAAGGTTCATTGTCACAAGGAGCTAAATATAACAGTTAAAATATTAAATATGCGTCTTTTCATCATTATGTGTTATTTGACAATTGGCACCCTATAGACAGGATGCATGGCTGCAGCCGCTGTGATGCAACACATTGCACAAGAGGGTGATTTCAGTTGAAGCTGTTCTGCACATGTATAGAAGATTGTGTTTGATCTCATGAGACAGTCCTAGTTTCTTACCCCCTTTTTGAAGAATATATATATATATATATATATATATATATATATATATATATATATATATATACAGGTGCTGGCCAGTAAATTAGAATATCATCAAAAGGTTGAAAATATTTCAGTAATTCCATTCAAAACGTGAAACTTGTACATTATATTCATGCAATGCACACAGACCAATGTATTTCCAATGTTCATTACATTTAAATTTGATATTCATAAGTGACAACTAATGAAAACTCCAAATTTGGTATCTCAAAAAATTAGAATATTCTGAAAAGGCTGAATATAGAAGACACCTGCTGCCACTCTAATCAGCTGATTTACTCAAAACACCTGCAAAGGCCTTTAAAAGGTCCCTCAGTCTTGTTTTGAAGGCACCACAATCATGGGGAAGACTTCTGACTTAACAGCTGTCCAAAAGACAATCATTGACACCTTGCACAAGGAGGGCAATACACAAAAGGTGATTGCTAAAGAAGCTGGCTGTTCGCAGAGCTCTGTGTCCAAGCACATTAACAGACAGGCGAAGGGACGGAAAAAATGTGGTAGAAAAAAGTGTACAAGCTCTAGGGATAACCGCACCCTGCAGAGAATTGTGACGACAAACCCATTCAAAAATGTGGGGGAGATCCACAAAGAGTGGACTGCAGCTGGAGTCAGCGCTTCAAGAACCACCACGAGGAGACTCATGAAAGACATGGGATTCAGGTGTCGCATTCCGTGTGTCAAGCCACTCTTGAACAAGAAACAGCGCAAGAAGCGTCTCGCCTGGGCCAAGGACAAAAAGGACTGGACTGATGCTGAGTGGTCCAAAGTTATGTTTTCTGATGAAAGCAAGTTCTGCATTTCCTTTGGAAATCAAGGACCCAGAGTCTGGAGGAAGAGCGGAGAAGCACAGAATCCACGTTGCATGAGGTCCAGTGTAAAGTTTCCACCGTCAGTGATGGTGTGGGGTGCCATGTCATCTGCCGGTGTTGGCCCACTCTGTTTCCTGAGGTCCAGGGTCAATGCAGCCGTCTACCAGGAAGTTTTAGAGCACTTCATGCTTCCTGCTGCTGACCAACTTTATGGGGATGCAGACTTCACCTTTCAACAGGACTTGGCACCTGCACACAGTGCCAAAACCACCAGCACCTGGTTCAAGGACCATGGTATCCCTGTCCTTGATTGGCCAGCAAACTCGCCTGACCTTAACCCCATAGAAAATCTATGGGGTATTGTGAAGCGGAGGATGCAATACGCTAGACCCAACAATGCAGAGGAGCTGAAGACGACTATCAGAGCAACCTGGGCTCTCATAACACCTGAGCAGTGCCACAGACTGATCGAGTCCATGCCACGCCGCATTACTGCAGTTATTGAGGCAAAAGGAGCCCCGACTAAGTATTGAGTGCTATACATGCACATTCTTTTCATGTTCATTCTTTTCAGTTGGCCAACATTAGAGAAACAAACATTTTTTCATTGGCCTTTAGAATATTCTAATTTTCTGAGATACCAGATTTGATGTTTTCATTGGTTGTCACCTATAAATATCAAAATTAAACGTAATAAACATCGGAAATACATTGGTCTGTGTGCATTGCATGAATATAATGTACAAGTTTCATGTTTTGAATGGAATTACTGAAATATTTTCAACCTTTTGATGATATTCTAATTTACTGGCCAGCACCTGTATATATATATATATATATATCGGAAAGAGGAGAGTTTTCTTTCCTAGTCATCTGCCCTGCTGCCAAATGGAGCATGTGAGACATCCTAGAAGCCATTACTATCCAGGTCAAGCCTGTGTTCACTGTTCACTCTCAGTCTGTGACAGCGTCCATGTGCATCAGGCAGGTCTGAGCAGAAGAGCCATTAGAATCCAGCTTTCTGCAGCACATATGCTGATTGTGTTGCTGCAAGTGGACATAAACGAATCCGGGTGAGCACATGAAGCATAAGACTTTAAGCCAGTGTGTGTGTGTGTGTGTGTGTGTGTGTGTGTGTGTGTGTGTGTGTGTGTGTGTGTGTGTGTGTGTGTGTGTGTGTGTGTGTGTGTGCTCTTATTGTGATGCAGTATTCATGAGGTTATCTTTAAAGCTTCTTCTTATTTAAGTGGAAACAAACAAACTGACACGTGACCGTCCACAACAAGCTTCTGCACCCCTACCCCCATCAAAGAGAAGGGAGGTCTGGTTCACAAAGAGGAATTAAACACACTGATCCAGAACGCATCAGACAAAAATTAAAGAATGCCCCCACACTCTTCACCCTCATAGTAAACGCACGCGCACACACACACACCTGCTCCTTACCTATGCAAAGCTGCAAGACATAGGCGTAATATGACCACGCCACAATCAGGGCGATGAACAGAACCGGGATCCAGTAAAGAACTCTCTGGCAGCCCCGCTTGATGCTCCGCGGGCCAGACGGTGCCATAGTCTAAAGGAATCGGATAATTTCTCCGTGCGCAGCGTACAGCTCTCCCTCAGCGCGCGCGCGCGCCTGTAGAAGACTGTCACTGCATCGTAGCACCGACCAGCCTCATCGGAAGCTCAGACGCAACATCCTTCCAACCTCCCTCCTCCTGTAGGGTTAGGGTTAGGTGCCGCTTCTTCAGCGCTGCGGCACCGCTCTCCTCCTCTCTGATCGTCCTGCTTCAGACAGCAGACAGACACGCGCGCGCGCACGCACACGGAAGGACGGAGAGCCCGCGGCGCCTTCGCTACAGCCTACCGACACGTTGCCATGACGTCCGCGGGATGCTGCAAGCCTGGCACATTTTCTTTCTGCGCGCGCACAAAGGTGGGTTCGATGAGTTCAAACCCGAACAACACAGACAGACAGACACACACACACGCACACACACACGCACGCACACATAAGCTCACTTCCAGCATCTTTAATCCTATAATTTCTTTTAATTATAATCCTGTGATTATAATGTGAAGGAACGCAAATCCACACGTAGAGCGAGGACAGATTCAGAAAACGAATTGAATCCGAATTTAATGGTAAATCTGAATTTCAAGCTAGTGTTTTCAACCAGGAAAGACATCGAGTGTGATCCATATCATCTCTGTTGATCTTGATTGTATCAGACGAGTCTTAGAGAAAAGCTGTTATCTTGTTTTTTCTAACAAGTAACTCAGATCAATCATAATCTATAGCTGCAAGATCTGAATAAAAAATAGCTTAAAAATACATTTGTTAGGATTAATTTGGGTGTTTTGGACATTTTGAAGAGCGTTTCTCTTCTTCTTGAACAGCCTCTGTTTGGAGAAATGGACTAGATGTCACGAGCTGACTGGCGGATCCGTAAAAACACCCAACACAGAATGACAGTTTAACAATGTTTATTAAAAGGAGAGAGGCAGAGGCTAGGTCAGGAGGCAGGAGGTCGTTACCAGGAGGTCTGAAGTGAGAATAGTCCGTAAGGGAAATCCAAAAAGTGAAGTTGGGGATGGAGCAGGACCGGAGCCAGAGGATCGGAGAAGCATCAGAGTAGACAGGGTAATCCAGGAGATGAGGTCGGGAACGGAGCAGGGTTCGTGATCTGAAGACAAGGTGAGTAGCAGGCTGGAGAATTTACTAGCAGGGCTTTCAATAATCTGGCAATGACTGGGTAGCTGGATGGATCTTATATAGCAGGAGGAGCAGGTGTGGTGAATTTGGTTGATGACAGAACAGGTGGAATGAATGGAGCTAATGAGATGCGGGCTGTGGTTGCTGTGGCAACAGGTCACGGCAGGAACAGGATCATGACACTAGAAGGGTGATGGTGGCTCAGGTGCTAGTTTATGCTTCTGCATTGGTACGGAGACATGCAATGCCATTATCCATCGTAATGAGCTCTCTCCAACAGGCTCACGAGGATGGGTGGAGCTGAGCCCACTTTTCTAAACATCCGTCCAACGCCATGATTGTGATTGGTCAAGATGCTGCTTCCTTTAAATTCCTCAACAGCACCGCCATTGCGCCTTTAAAAAACCTAAGAGCGCTGACAATATCTCGCTGCAGACACGGATTAGCTTGAAGAAACCTTTACAGAAAAACTCTAAAAATATGAACGTTTAATTCATTCTTAACTGGAGGAGTGAAGAAACCCAGCAAGCGTTTTACAGAATAGACTTTATTAATCCCACAGTGGTGAAATTCATTTGTTACAGCAGAAATATTACTTAAGAGAATTATTTGAAGTAAAAACAACAAAGGTACATGTATATAAACACAGGCAGTAACCTAGTATTGTAAACTTTGACCACCAAAAGCCACGAAAAACGAAAAAACTTTGGTTCCAACATTATGCAGCATACTGCAAGAGATAAGGAAATACTATGTAAATCCGGTATTGCACAAGTATTGAACACATATTGAATATTGCATTGGCGTTATTGTGTAGCAGGACAATGCCAGTACCAGTTAAACTGAGGAGTTATACACTCTTACTGCAGAAGGGATGAATGACCTACAGCAGCTTTCTGTTTTACATCTGGGATGTCTCAGTCTGCCCTGAAGGAGCTGTCCATGGTCTCCACAGTGGAATGCAGCGGGTGGAGGAGGTTTTATTAAGATGGAGGTCATCTTTCCCAGCATCCTCCTTACACACATCTCCTCAGCTTAATCCAGTGGGCAGCTCAGAACCAAGCTAGCTTTGTGAACTAGCTTGATCAGTCTCTTCCTGTCTCGGTCCGAGCTGCCTGCAGCCCAACAGCTACAGCAGAGTGGATAACAGATCCAACCACAGAGTGATGAAAGGATTTTAGCAGCTGGGAGTTAACTCCTCAGGTTCCTCAGGAGGTGGAGGCGGCTTTTGTCCTTATTATGCAGAGCATCTGTGTTGTTGGACCAGTTCAGTTTGCGGTTGAGGTGAACACCCAGGTACTTAAAGGTATCCACCACCTCACTGTCTGCTCCCTGGATGTTTACTGGTGAGTGAGGAGGAGTGTTTCTCTGGAAGTCAATCACCATTTCCTTTGTTTTACTGGTGTTCAAGCGAAGGTGGTTATGCTCACACCAGTCCACAAAGTCCGTGATGACTGACCTGTACTCCTCGTCATTCCCCTCAGACACACAGCCGACAATGGCCGAGTCATCAGAGAACTTATGGAGGTGACAGCTGCTGGTGTTGTAGGCGAAGTCCAAGGTGTAGAAGGTGAAGAGAAAGGGCAAGAGACCTGTACCCTGTGGAGCTCCAAAGTTATTTGATGAACTGACAACAGTTTGTGGAAATTAATAATATAAAGTCCTCTATACATAATATTTGTTGTGGAGTACCACAAGGATCGGTCTTTGGACCATTACTCTTTCTTTTTTACATTTATGATATTGCTTTGGTTTCAAAATTATTCAAGTGCATACTATTTGCAGATGACACTACCTTATTTCATTCAGGAGAAAATATAAAAGATGTTTTAAATGTAGTTAAAAATGAATTGACAAAATGAAAATATGGTTTGATATCAATAGGCTTTCTTTAGAATAGAATAGAATAGAATAGAATAGAATAGAATAGAATAGAATAGAATGCCTTTATTGTCACTGTACAGGTGTAAAGTGAGATACAGAGCATCTCCTACTCAGTGTAACACAAACATACGGGGGGGGGGGGGGGGACACTTCTGCAGCGCTATTTACATATGGACAGTAATGTTATGTATATACAATTATTGCACGTGGAATTTGGTATCAACAGATAATGGTGGTCAGTGGAGGAAGTGGGAAGTGGGGGGCTGTGTTATCGGTGCATGTGTGAGTTCAGGGTGGTTGTGTGTTTGGGGAAGAAACTGTTTTTTGAGTCTGTGGGTTTTTGCATTGACGCACCTGTAGCGCTTCCCTGAGGGAAGCAGTCTGAACATGTCGAAGCCAGGGTGGGAGCTGTCCTTGATGATGTTTGCTGCCCTACTGAGACAGCGGGAGGAATAAATGTCCATCATGGAGGGGAGAGGACAGCCGATGATCTTCTGTGCTGTCTTGACCACACTCTGAAGCCTCACTCTATCCGCCTTGGTGCAGCTGCCGTACCATACCGTGATGCAGTAGGTTAGCAGGCTCTCAATGGACGAGCGGTAGAAGGTCAGCAGCAGGTCGGTGTTCAGTTTGTACTTCCTGAGGACTCTCAGGAAGTGCAGCCGCTGTTTGGCCTTCTTGATGACCGCTGAGATCTTTTCCGCCCAGGAGATGTCAGCAGAGATGAGGACACCCAGGAACCGGAAGGTGTGGACCCTCTCCACACACTCCCCATTGATGTAGAGGAGGACCAACTCGGTGCTGTGTCTCCTGAAGTCGACAATAAGCTCTTTCGTTTTCTTGGTGTTCAGGGACAGGTTGTTTTCTGAACACCAAGCTGCCAACTTCAGGACTTCCTCTCTGTACTCTGCCTCGTCTCCCTTCGAAATGAGTCCGACCACCGTGGTGTCATCAGCAAACTTGATGAGAGTGTTATTGTGGGTCGGACTGTAGTCGTGGGTGTACAGAGAATACAGGAGGGGGCTCAGCACACAGCCCTGTGGGGAGCCGGTGCTCAGTGTGCGAGTGGAGGAGAGATGAGGGCCGAGTCTCACAGTCTGGGGCCGGTTTGTGAGGAAATCCTTTATCCAGGCACACGTGAGAGGAGGGAGGCCAAGAGTGACCAGTTTGTTGATGAGGATGTCCGGGATGATTGTATTAAAGGCTGAGCTGTAGTCCACAAAGAGCATTCGGACGTAGCTCTGCCGCTGCTCTAGGTGACTCAGCACAGGGTGGAGGGCTGTGGGGATGGCGTCTTTTGTGGATCTGTTTGCACGGTATGCAAACTGGTGGGGGTCGAATTCTGGGGGGAGGTGATCCTTTATGTGCTGAAGGAGTAGTCTCTCAAAGCATTCCATGATTACCGGTGTGAGGGCCACAGGGCGGTAATCATTTAAGCTGGAGATGGGAGACTTCTTCGGTACTGGGATGATTGTGGCTGATTTTAGACAGGACGGGATGGCTGCCTGATCCAGTGAGAGGTTGAAGAGTCTGGTGAAGACGAGGCTGAGCTGGTGTGCGCATGCTCTTAGTACTTTACCAGGTACTCTGTCTGGACCAGCCGCCTTCCTGGGGTTCACTGCTAGGAGCACACGTCTGACATCGTGCTCCGTTACAGTGAGTGGAGCGGTGTAAGAACCAGGTGAGGATGAGGATGGTAGCAGGGCTGAAGCAGATGAGTGTTGCTGCTGTGGTGTTTCAAAGCGGGCAAAGAAGCTGTTTATTTCCTCTGCCAGCTGCACACTCAGGTTTTCAGTTTTTGCAGTGCTGCTTCTGTGGTTGGTGATGTCTCGCATTCCCTGCCATACCTCTCGTGTGTTGTTGCTGGACAGGTGGGACTCGATATTCCTTTTGTGGTCTGACTTGGCTTTTTTAATCCCCCTTTACAGGTCAGCTCGAGCAGCCCTGTACAGAGCTCTGTCACCTGACCTGAAGGCGGCACCTGAAAATTACATTGGAGAAACACGTGTGCCACACCCGGTGCTTGTGGTGTGTGGATCTGTTACATAGTTCTAAATAATAACAATATGGAGTTCCTGTGTGTATGTTATATTATGTAAATATCAGTCCTACTTTTTGGAAATAATAAGCAGTTTGTGCATACAAGAGAATTAAAGAGAATTTAAGGCGAAGCGCTTGCACATACTGTGTTATTGTGTTGTTTTTTCTTCAGGGGGGGGGGGGCACCACGATGCCTTTGTGCTTAGGGCACCAAAATAGCTAGCAACGGCCCTGTCAGGGATGGTCAGGAGGGGCAGTCCAGGAGTGTGGTGGACAGCTTTGTTGAGTGGTGTGAGTGAAACCACCTACAACTTAACATGACAAAGACTAAAGAACTGATTATGGACTTTAGGAAGCAGGCCTCACCTCCTACTCCTGTCACCATCAGAGGGGCTGACGTTGAGATCGTTGAGGACTGCCGGTACCTGGGGGTTCACTTGGACTGTAAACTGGACTGGACCAAGAACACCAATGCTATCTTCAAAAAAGGGCAGAGTCGGCTTTTCCTACTGAGGCGGCTCAGGTCCTTCAATGTTGGGAGGAAAATGGTGACCATGTTCTACCACTCGGTGTTGGAGAGTGTCGTGTTCTTTGCAGCTGTGCGCTGGGGCAGTGGGGTGAAGATAGCTGATGCCAACTGGCTGAACAAGCTGATTAGGAAGGCTGGTTCTGTCCTGGGTGTCAGACTTGAGAACCTGGAGGAGGTGTCTGAGAGGAGAATGCTAAAAAAGCTTCTCTCTATCTTGGACAACCCCTCCCACCCCATGCACGCCCACATGATTGACCATCGAAGCACACGCAGCAAAAGACTCATTGCCCCGAAATGCAGAACTGACCGCCACAGGAAATCCTTCGTACCGGTGGCAATAGGATTGTTTAACTCTTCCTCACCCTGTAGGTGATTCTCCTAATACTGTTACCTAGGTTACTCTGTTCCCTCCCAGACCGTGCAATATTACCCAAGAGTTCTTATTGGAAATATGTTTGCATCCCTCCATCATATCATATGCTGCTACTACCCTTAATTCTATTGCACAATACTCTGATCATTTTCGAACATCGCCTGCACTGATAGCTTCATTACTTATTCACCAGGATACAGTCATGTATTTTATTTGTTGAGCTATCTGAGTATTTCTCTTGCACTATCCTATTGTATACTACTGTACACTATTTTTACTGTATATATCGTATATCTTATATCTGTTTCACCTGTTCCTTTGCCTCTCCTACTGCTTTGAGCACGTACACGACACAACAACTTCCCTCGGGATAAATAAAGTTGTTCTTATCTTGTTTTTAGTTGTAAAAAAAGTGCTGATGCATCAATAAATGTTCAAGGAATTGAGATAGAAAGAGTAAAAGAATTTAAGTTTTCAGGTGTTATTGACGAACACTTTATCATGGAGGTCTCACATAAATTATATTAAAATTAAAATATCTCGAGCTATTGCAGTACTAAATAAGACGAAGGAATGGTTGAACATAAAAGCTTTGCATATTCTGTACTACTCGATAATTCTTCCATATCTGACATATTGTATGGAAGTATGGGGAAGTACCTGCAAAACATATACATTCAATTTTTCTGTTACAGAAAAGAGCGTGAGAGTTATTAGTGGAAGTGGATACAGGGATCGTACTGATCCGATGTTTTCACAACTGACCTCATGAAATTTGACAAACTAGTAGAATATAACTTGTTTAAACTAATGTACAAAGCACATAAAGGAATTCTACCAATAAATATTCAAAAGAAATTTGTAAAAAGAGAAAGTAATTATAATCTAAAAGGAACTGATATTTAAAAAAAAACAAGAATCCGAACAGCGATAATGGAAAGATGTATCTCAGTGAAAGGTGTCTGTTTGTGGAATAGACTCAACGGTGAAATAAAACAATCTAAATCATTTTCTGTATTTAAAAAAAAGTGAAACGTATCATGATGAAGTAATAAGACCTTAAGTAGGCTGATTGACTTTTGTGTTGGGGTGCTAAGCAATACAGTTTATTTTCCTGACATCAATGAATTTCCTTTGGCAAAATTGTGCACAAACACAAAATTAGTCATATGGCGAAGACAAAAAAGATTTTTGATAGTGCCCTAATTTTTCCCCTTTTTTTTCTTGCGTCCCCATGAAAAAAAATATTGGCCCCACTGTGGCCCCCCTGGAAAATTTGGCCTAGAACCGCCCCTGCGCAGAAGGCACGTAAGAAGTCAAAGAACATGATTCGCACAGTGCTTTTTATCCATCTCAAGGCGAGTCAGAGCCCGGTGCTGCAGGTTGATGAGTGCGTCCTCCACCTCCATGTTTGGTTTATATGCAAATTGCAGTAGGACTATTTCCAGGGTCACTACTGAACGTAGATGGGTGAGGATGAGTCTCTCCATAGTCTTCATCAGATGGGAGGTCAAGGCGACTGGTCTGGTTCCTTGGGATGTGATGTTTTGGGAACTGGAACCACGGTCTTCCACTGGATGGGGTCCTGCTCCAACCGAAGGCTCAAGTTGAACATAACCACTTCACAAAGCTGGTCAGCACAGTCTGAGGCTGATCCCATCAGGTCCTGCAGCTTTCTTGCACTTCAGTACTCTCATCAGTTCTCTCCTCACCTGGTCTGATGTAACTGAAACAGGGGGTGAGTGGTGCTGAGGAGGGTTGGTGGTGGTGGGGGGGGGGGGGGGGGGGGAGACGTTGAATGGTGTGAAATTTGGAGGTGGGGGGAGATTGGCTGGCTGAGTGGAGGTGGAGCGGGTGGAACCTGTTGCAGCTGTGGGTGGGGGAGTGGAGTCAAATCTGTTCAAATAAAACCATCAAGTTCACTGGCCCCAGTTCTGGTCCCCTTATTAGTGGACAGAAATGACAGGAAATGTGGGTTTAGAGATGGCGAGCACTTGAAGAGGTGGAGAATGAGAGACACTCGTGTTGAAAAAATCTCTAAAATACAAAAAACCTTTTGTTGCTTTGCAACACTCCCCAGGTGACAGAGAAGTCAAAGGCAAAACATCCGCGTGTGCGTCTCTCCCTCGTGGAACTGACTCAGATGCATGAACTAGCCTTTAAGGGTTCACCCCAACTGGTGGGTTGCTGGCTCCAACCCAGACTCCATCTCTGTCAGTCATTGTGTCCTTGGGCAAGACATCCTTGCCTGCTAGTGCTGGTTGGGGGGGGGACGGGGATGCCTGTCGACTCGGGTTCTGATTGGCTACACTTCACATTCAGTCAGCGCGCTTGTTCTTCCTTGATATCGAACCAAGACAATCCAATATGTGGAATATCACCTCAGTCAAACTTTATTTATACAGTGCATGCAACTCAAAGTGCTTAACAAATTTAAAAGGCCCCGCATGCCCACATTCTCCCCATCCCCAGAATTTTAAAAACACGATGGACTGACATCGGATGAGCCAGACCAGCTAAGATAAGGAAACGCCATCAGGGGAGCCATCCGCCCCGACAGCAGCAGATCCACAGAAGCAGCCGAGGCACTGACACAGGGCGCCCACGGCAGGGAGGGCGGAGATCCCCACCTGCACCCAGGTACACCTGGAAAGCACCCAGGCCGCCACAGTCGACCACCGCCCCCAGGGCAGAGGGCACCCACAGAGGAAACACTGGAAAAAAGTTAAATTAAGATTAAAATATAAAATCATAAGAGCTAAAATGAGAATTGTAATATAAAAAGTTACATAGATTTTAAAATAATGTTGATCATAAATCTTTGGTAAAAAAAAAAAACTCAGTTTAAAAATAGCACGTTAAAAAAAAGAACACATAAACTAATTAATTAATTCATTAATATAAAAAGTGATAGTAATCAGTTATCTATTTATGATCAGAGCCATTCTGCTTCGGAGCTGAACAAAGAACTCTTGACACACCACACATAGCAGAAATATCTGATAAGATTATCTTTAGTCATTACGGTAATCCAGGCATCCAAGATTGTCGGAAGGGTGGGATCACATAAAAGCATGGTTATCTTGCTGTGAAAGGCTCCTGTGATCCTCTACAGAGCAAAACTTGAATAAAAACGGACGAACTCATTTCACCAAAATAAAGAACGTTTCTGTGGGACTGAATCAAGCTGGGATCTTCTGCACCATCTTATGTTCCACCACTAAGTGCAGTATTAGACCGCGGGCAAATCATCACCCTGCTGAATTAATCATTTAAGGATTTTTTTTACTCCCCGATCTGGCTTGCAAACTCCCACACAGCTCCAGGTTTCTTAGGATTAATAATGTTAATGATTAGCCTTCGGGTTGAGGCTGAAACAGCTCAGCACTGGTCGTACGTAAACACTGAAGGAAATAAACGTCCATTTTTAGCATCCAAAGCTGATTACAGCTGCACCACAAAACAAATGTGTGTAAAGCAACAATTCATGACCAAGAATCCAAATACTTGACCTTTATTAAACCACATTTTCATAACTCAAAGCAAGTGTAACAGTCCCAGTCTGATCTAATAGAACAATAAAGAATAAATAACCCAGAATAACCGGAGTTCCTGTTAGAGATCACTTTACAGCCGTTTCTTCACAACCAGAGATTCTCCGAGCCGAGTCTTCGCTTATGGCTTCAGTATTTCTGCACATTTATTTGTAAAGAGGTCAGAAATGATTAACGCTGTCAGCTGCCTGTGGTTAAACAGTGAGACACCCACAGTCAGACCGAGTGGGTTCAGGCCCGCTGGTCCTGGACGAGCTCAGCTGCAGCGAACCGGAGGGAACGGGAGGAGGGGTGGGGTGCTGTTGCATGTTGATCTGAGCAGGGGGCTGCAGAACCCACTAAAGGACAAAGGAGAGAATTCTCCTGAACAGAACCAGAACCAGGAAAATCGGACAAATGCAAGCCTGCAGGGTAGGGAATAAACAGCTATAGGACAATGCATGAATCTTCCTCACCAGGATACATCTGCACGAGCAAGAACAGAAATAAATAAATAAATAAACACCCTCCCCTACAAATAATCATGTCAACTCTATTTAGTGCAAGTAGAGTTCAGTAAAACTGAGCAGGCGGGTTTTCTTTGACCCTTTGAAGTCGTTTTCCATCTCAGCATCTGGTCGTTCTGCCCGTTTCCTCCCGTGGTCGGAGATGCTGCAGCATGCATGAACCCATCGGGCATGGAGAAGGGTGAAGGCACAGCTGATCCAGACAGTAGAACGTGCAGCGGCGCCGGGATCTTCACCTGGTGACCGATTAGAGGAGTCAAATCCTGGTCAGACTCAGCAGCTTTCTGGAGTGCAGCACCTCATTCAGCAACAAGCAAAAACTACAAAACTAGAGCTAAACAGGAGGCGTCTAAAAGTCTGAAGATCACAGACCAAAGAGACATATCTCTCATTAGGGTTTTCATTTTTTTATTGTTAAATGACCTATAAAATAGAATAAAGCGTATTTCATTAACATTTACTATAAACTGATTTGGTGTCGGGTTACACACCTGCAGCATGAAAACTGAACAATCAGGTTCAAAATCTGTCAGCTTGTTTGGAACGAGAGGGGACTCTGAACCTTTCTGCCAAGTGAATCAGAAAAACGTGTAAACAAGTTCAAACACAGATCTATTGGAGCTCTAAGGTAACGGAGGACATGTGGAAGTTTCACTGGGTTTTATTATAGGAAGGAAAAAAATAAACAACATGAATAGAATAGAATAAAAATGTTGAACGGGTTATGATTCTCTAAAAAGTTCTAAACATCAAACTTAAAATATGAAAATGAAGATTTGTTCTTGTTTTTTAACATGCACTAGTTTTATTTAACGCTTCTCATCCACTTCCTCACACCAGTTACTGTATTTAGGCTTATTTGACCATTTAGTTCAAGTGAAAACGATCAGCTTTAAGGCTTGATGTGCTGCCTAGAGCGGGACGTGAAGGTTTGTTTTTATCATGACTACCACAAATTTATACAGGAAAACCATGAGGATCAACGGGACTGCCGTAAATTTGGCATCCCGCCGTCTAACCAAGACCAAGGAGATGGTTATTGACTTCCGAAGGAGTAAGGATGCCCCCCGCCCTCTCTGCATTAAAGGAGCTGAGGTGGAGAGAGTTCCCTCCTTTAAGTTTCTCGGGATTTACATCTCTGAGGATCTGTCATGGACAATCAATACCACTGCCTTGGTCAAAAAAGCACAACAGCGGCTGCACTTCTTGAGAGTCCTGAAGTGGAACAGGCTGCAGACCAACCTCTTGGTGTCTTTTTATCGAGCAGTCATTGAGAGCGTGATGACTTACGCTATCCCTGTGTGGTACGCGGGGTGCACAGTAGCTGATAAAAACAGATACCAGAGGGTCATTAGAGCGGCGGAAAAGGTGATTGGATGCACCCTTCCCTCCTTGGACACTATCGCCCTGCAGAGGTGTCTCACTAGAGCAAGGACCATCTCCAGGGACATTTACCACCCAAACCACTACCTTTTTGCCATGCTGCCCTCTGGGAAAAGGTTCAGATCCCTCAGCTGCAGGACCGACAGACTGAGGAAGAGTTTCTTTCCCTGGGCTATTAGAACCCTGAATGGACAGAAAAATCAACCCTATTGATATTATTTATTGTATTTTGTAATGTTTTTGTTTTTTATTGCATGGTGCATATTGTACTTGTTTTAGCTATTTTGCTTAGTATTTTTAGCGGATGCCTAATGTGGAGCTCTAGGAAATTTCGTTGAATGTGCAATCATTTAATGACAATAAAGGATATCTAATCTAATCTAATCTAAAAGGTGTGTAATGAATAAAAAATGAGACTTTAAATGAAATACACATGAAACAATTCTGATCAACTTAATTATTTAAATGACTTAAAAACATTTAAGAGTAGAAACAGTTTTTTAAGCATTAAAAGGTAAAAAAAAACATACAAACATTAAATAAAAGTGATATTTTATGCATGTTAAAACTTAAAAGATAAACGGTTAAAAAAAGGACTGTAATAAACGCCCTCGCGTCGCCATTTCAATTAATTAACTAACTCACATCTAAAAGTAATCAGATTTAAATGTTGGAAGCCTAAATAATGTTTCTGGTTAAAAACACACAGATTAAACCTTTAGCCAGTGTGCTTCTCTAAAGAGTAAGATTATTAATCCCTCCCCTCGGAGGTGCCCTCTCTTTGAAACACTTATACAGCTTTAGAGCCGCGCCGCTCGCTGCTCATGTGTGCACACCTAAGCCGGTATCCGGTGGCAGCTGTTCAGGCGTTAATATTACAGCGTAACTCAATGCTTCAGGGGAGAAGAGCTCGGGCCTCACACTAGCGCTCCCTCGGGGGAAACCTCCTTATCCTCGTCTTTAGGCGTTTGAATTTGATTCTTGTTCCTTGTGTCACAAACCTGAAGCAGACAGAGGAGAGAACTTGTACCTATTTGCTTGACAACTCCTTCTTCATGCAGGACTTGAAAGAGACGAATTTCTCCTCCCCTCGAGCGCCCTGAAATTGTGAGAGGAGGAAATTCTTTCTTCAGATGAAAAAGCTTAATTTCGTCCCACTAGATGGCGGTAGAGGCAACAGCTGGTTGATGAGGCAAGGAGACACCAGAGGATGGGAGGGAGGGGGAACATGGCAGGTATCTCACCCCGCCTCCACGGTGCAGACGGTCCTTCATGACTCCGACAAACTCTCTGTGGCTCAGTTTACCGTCGTGATCCTCGTCAAAGATCTTGAAGACGGTGTTGACCAAGTGGCGGCTCAGCGTGATGCCCGTGGCCACGTGGACCGCTCGGGTGAACTCCTCTAGAGGACAGACATGATTGTTGTGTTTTTGTTAAAACTTCATAGAGATTTCCTGAGACAACATTTAAAACCAAATCACTGTTTTTTTACGGCGGCCCAGATGGGTCAACTGCAACACGACAAAAGCTGCAAAAGTAATAATAAAACAAAATTATCTTGTTATTTTAATTATCAGCATTATTGGGGTGGGATTTAACAGGCGTTGGCTTCTTCCAACTCCTTTAGAAAAAAGACAATCCTTTTGTTTGTTTGTTTGTTTGTAAACTTTCAAACATGGTGGCTAAGACTGCATAAACAAATAAATATATAAAAAACATTTTTATTATGGAAAAATAAAATAAAAACCTGTGTCCAGTAGATTGAACTGCCTATTTAAACACCAGTAGGGCTGAGCGATACGGCCTAAAAATAAAATCTCAGATTTTATTTATTTTTTTATTTGATTTGATTTTTTTCCGATTCTCACCCCCTCAATTATTAAGAGCAGCAATAAATACGAATGGAAGGCACCTTAAAGCCAGTTTTGTTTTTTATTTAATCCCAAGCAAGACAAACGTAACCCTCATTTCTGAGCTGAATAATGAAGAAATGAACACGCTGTTGGAATAAAAGTGCCGCGCTCCACGTCCGTCGCAGCAAACCCACACCAGTTCCAAACAACGGAACACCGGTGGCCATGGAGTCGCTTGCTGTTGCTGTGTTGTGTGTGTGCTGTGACGTTGTTGTCGCGGTTATGTGAAACTAACGCTACGGAAGCTCCGGGGGGCCAAAAAGGCGCTATTACATAAAAATTTGATTGACCTTTTTTACTTTTTTTCTCTTTAATCGCCCGCAACTAAAAATTCACACACACACACACACACACACACACACCAAGTAGTGTTTTTATGACTACGTCGTGATTTCTTGGCAGATATTCTATTGAGGTGACCAACCATGAATATCCAAATCTCTGATGTGTGATCAGTGGTCCTGAGATGCTTCCAGACAGACCCGAGCACTCTTAACACACCACAAACAGACAGATTATCTGATAAGATTTTCTTAGAGCTATTAACGGTATTGGGGCACCTCCTTACACTTGTTGGAAAGGGAAGATCAAATCAAAAATCAACATAATTTTCTTGCATTTAAACGGGCCCTTGTCAGTTGCATGAAGGAAACATGGACAGAGGGTGCTGCTAAAAAAGCAGAGAAGAGCCTGCATGTCCAAGCAGGATACGTCTGTGTATGGACAGACTTATCCATCAATATCTCTAGACATTGCATAACACAAGATTGCATGTTGTTCGGAAGCCATTTTAAGTCATTTTAAGAGTGGTTTTGGTGATCTTTTGGAGACAAAATAATAACTAAAGAACACATTAGATTTAATTAAGCAGCCCGTTTATCTGGATAAATATAAATAGGATTAAGTTACCTTCAGGCAACGTTATACCTTAATGTTGGGATGTCTGCTGATGTTCAGGTGAAGTTTAGTAAACTGATTTATAAAAACAAAATGTATCAAATATGGCGTATTCAGCCATATACAGAAAATACTGAATGTGTTGCCCTTCCTGAGCTGTCTAGTGTCTCACATCAAAGTGTTCTGTGGCTCTTTACCTTGACCAACAGAGCGGTGGGCAAAGTTGTACATTTTCATGGCGATGGCGAAGTCCTCCAGGTTGTTCAGGAACTGAAAGAAGGATCTGAACTCCTCAAAGGTGATCCCCTGGGAAAAAGAAGAGATAAAAGACGTTTCATTGGTGAATTCTGCTGATCTAGAGCCTCAAACAGCAGAAGAGCTGCGTGTGTCAACACTCCAGCTACAAACGGTGCTAAAATTCACACAATACTTAATCTGGGTCCTTTCATCTCACAGAGGAATCCTTCAGAGTGTGTGTGGGAGCTTGTCTCCGTCGGACAGGTAACACACCCAAACACACAAACTATACATTGCTGGAGTTTCCCTGTGCAGTATGGACACGCTGAGCTGTCAGCGGGGGGGGGGAGGGGGTAGCAGACCTTTCTAAGACAGATTAACCTGATACTTGAATAAACAAAAACAAAAAGTGATGAATCCCCAAACATCTCAGGCTCGGCTGATGACTCAAACACTGAGCCCATTGATGTCCACTCAACCGTCCTGCTGCAACGAGCTGCTCCTCTTGCCTGGGGGGAGGGGGGGGGCGAACAAACACGCCGCCTTAATGGAGTAATGACTAATCTGTGACGCTTTGCTGTTTTAACAATGTGGGAACAATAAAATATCGCTCAGCGTAATGACGAGACCCACTTGATCATCAATGGAGATCTAGCAACAGGCTCTTGGAGGCGGCTGAGGAGCTGCTGGCACCTTTTCATGCAGGTCAGCGCGCCAAGAGGAGGAACAGATTAAAGCCGCTTCACTCAACAGCTAATTCACATCACCAAAGGGATGAGCGAAACCGGGTAAAATACCCCCACCTGTCCACGGAAACACGGCCTTAAACACTGAACAAAATAAACACAGATTAAAGTTTTACTTCCTAAAATATATTTTAAAAAATGAAATGTGCTACAAACGGCTAAATAAATGACTGCAACACAGGTAGTCAAATCGGCGTCACGACATTACAAAACAAGATGAAAGGCAGACACTTTAACCGCTAGACCACCAAGCCCAATACAGCACAGCTGTGGGCGGAGTGCCCACGCCGTTTCCAAGGATGCTTTCTTCTCATTCGTTGCTTCGTTGTGGCCCATGACGCTTTGTAGGTTTCGCAATGAATGGGAGGAGCTCTGGCTGGTGGAGGTGGGGTTGTCTGAAACGGGCCATTTCATTTCCAGGTACAAAGACACGCTGACAAACATCACTCATATTAACTCAGGCCCTGTCCACACGTAGCCGGGGATCTGCCAAAATGTAGGTATTTTTCTACGTTTTGGCCTGTCGTCCACACGAAAACAGAGTTTTTTCACACGAAAACGGATCTTTTTAAAAACTCCGGCCAAAGTGAAGATCTGCGTTTTCTCCGTTTTGGGTGTCTGCGTGTGGACAGACAAAACCGGAGTTTTAAGGTTCGCAACGTCACTTTCCGCGACAAAAAAATGCTGACATCACGTGTGCGACCTGTGTTTACACTAGCCGACAGCATGGATGCCCTCAGAGCTGCGCTCTGTCACTACCCGATCCATCAATTGTCCAAGCGCTTTCTGCTTGTTGGTTTTTGCAAGAGGAATTACTGCTCCTTGCGGAAGACCACAGACGAAGGACGAGGTTAAGAACGGGGGAAGTACTGCCGCCTACAGGTCTGGCATGTCCTTAACAACGTATTTATCCGGGTACGTGTGGACAGAGTTTGTTTTTAAAACGCGGTGGTGTGGATGCAAGTTTTTGGAGGGGCGGATATTCGTTTTTAAAAAACCCCGGCTACGTGTGGACTAGGCCTCATTCACTGCCAGCGTTTCTCACCGTTTTTACTGTTTTTTTAAGACTCACAGAACGTTGCGCGCTAGGATGATGCCGTTGCCAAAACAACCAAAACAAAGCGGAGACTCACCTCTTACATCAGGAAGAATCCGCACGTTTCGAGCGTTATCCGTTCTTTCAAAATCCGTTGTTGAATTGTGATCGGCAGAAGCTTTTCCGGTTCGCGCCTCACTTTTTTTACAGCAGCGGCCCAAAACGGATCTCCTAACACATGGATGTTCTGCTTCCTGATCACGTGACGTATGTGGATGAAGATCGGCTTTAGAGCTGGGATGTTTGTTCTCACGGTGCGGGGGCTCGTCCGACGCCCACACAGTAAAAAAATGCAAATAACGGCTGCAGGTTGTTCAGAACGTTGCTGCCAGGTTCTTGACGGGTACACACCGACGTAGCCACATTACCCCTGTCCTGACACATCTTCACTGGCTCCCTGTCATTTTCAGAGTGCAGTTTAAGTTACTGACTTTTGTTTTTAAAGCACTCAGTGACCTGGCACCTTCCTACCTCCCTGCCCTTCTCACTCCATATGTGCCCACCCGCTCGTTGAGGTCGGCTGACCTTTTGCTGCTGCACACGCCGCGGATGAGGCTCAAATCGCGGGGTGAACGAGCATTTGTCCATGCTGCCCCAAAGCTATGGAACTCACTGCCCATTGGAGTTCGGCAGGCTCCATCTCTGGCGGTTTTTAAATCTCGTTTAAAGACCCACTTTTGCACTTTGGCTTTTAGACAGTGACTCGTTTTAGTTTTTTATTGTGTCATTGTTTTAATGTGCTCTTATTATTCATGTTTTCTCTGCTTTTAATTGAGATTTTTATCCTTTGTTTTAGCTCCTTGTAATGGGTGTGTTTTGTTTTAGCCTGTGCAGCACTTTGGGCAGCTCCCATGCTGCATTTTAAACGTGCTATATAAATAAACTATGCTATGCTATGCTTTAGTCGTCAATGGCAGTGAAAAAGTTAAGGTAAAGTGGCATCTCCACAGCGCCAACGCTAAGATTGTATCAAATACTGTACCTACTTTAGCACTCAGAGATTTAAAACAGCATGATCGGGCCCTTTAAAAAACTAACTGATCTAAAAATGTGACTGGAACATTTGGTGCCCTTCTGTTGTGGAAATTTTATGCAACTATTCTATTAAAAAACGGATAAAGGCGCTCATTTCTGTATTTTAAAGTTTTTTTAATCACTTCTAGTCACTAGTCACGTTTACAATCGGATTGAACGCCCAATCAGATCAAAAGTTCTGCATGTAAACACGTCAGTCGGAATGTTCTGATCCGATTCGGCGTGATCGAAATGAAAATTTCAATCCCGCTGACAGAGGCGGTTTTTCCCATCATCATTCTGACTGACGTGCATGTACACAGCCATTCGGATTATAGGAGTAAAATAATGCCCACGGTGCATGTGAGCCTGACTAAAGAAACGGCGGCCTCATTAACGAGCATCCGCTTTTAAATACGATGGCAAGCCGTCCCCGTTTCTGTAATATCTAATCCAGGGGTTGCATTTTGTGGAAGTAAAACAAAAATCTGATTATTGCACAAATCATTCGACAAACGTGCTCAAGCGTGTGCTGGAAACACGCAGCTTCATTTTGCGTTTGCAGCACAGATCCCAGTTTCTGTGAACACAGCAGCTGTTTCTGCAGCCGGTGGACGGAGACGCGCTCGTAAAGAGGACCGGGTAACATGGGTTAATCAGACCCGGTTTGAGTTAAAAACATCCTCGCTTAAATATTCTGGGCAACTATCTGTGTAAAAACACGTTAACTGTAATAATCTGCGATAGTTCACTGAAGAAAACGTTATGTGAGCAAAATAAAAGCATTAAACTGATTAAATGAATCAGGAATGGAGGAAGAATTGTTTTATCCGTTTTTACATTTTTCATTTCGTTTCATCGTTGTTTGTTTACACTTTTTTTTTCCGGGAAAGAAAACAACCCATTTAATCTGATTGAATACTTTGTGCATATAAACTCACGGCATGATCGGATCATTTCAGCTAGTGTGCATGTAAACAGAGCTTCGAGAGTTCCCATCAACCAAGATCTGAATCGGATTGGGGAAATTTGGCGCATGTGAACGTGGCTACTGTCACGAAGAGCCATTTTGGCTCCAGAGCCGCGACTTGCAGACCCCTGAACTAAACAAAAATAAGAATCTAAAGACAAATGAATAAACAAAACAAACGGACCACCTTTTCATCTGGTATGCTGTGACGAACGTTCTCCATATACCCGCCAACGTCGTCCACGTTTGTGTAGCGAAGAAGAATGCGAGCAAAGTCTTCCTCACTGATGGTTGGCATGCCTTTTGAGTAGGAGAGGAACTCGATCTCAAGTAACTCAGTCTGCAGGTTGTCCATGAACCTGGAGGACAGACAAAGACGGTCGCCAACAGAACATCTTTCGGGTTTAGCCGTAGGACGGTCGGGGTGCTGTGAAGATCAGACGATTATCCAACTGGAAACGCAAAGAAACTTACTTGTAAAAATCCTCAAACTTTAACTCGGCTTTTCCCTTTTTCCCAAAGAAATGCACCAGAAGTGTTGTTTCTGCTTTCTCGTCCACCTGCTGAGAGAATAAACAGTCACGACTCCAGATGGCTTCAGGCTTCGTGAAAGATTTTTGTAATATTTTGTAACAAAACAGCAAAGGTTTCTGCAATGCTTAAGCCAAACTTTTAGAAAGTTAAGTCTCTCACACAGCAGTCTCACAGTAACAAGGTACACATATTTACTGTTGGCTAACATCCAGTTTGTGTTACTGAATAATGGCTCAGAGTTAATGGTTCATTGCTTGATCCGAACACGTGCGATGCGGCTGAATCAGTAGACATTCCCCCGCTGCTGCTTCTGTTGGAGGAAACCTCAGTTCAGCTGGAAAACAGCCGTTCATTCATTCATGTGCTCCTCTGTGGAGCAGCGGCTTTAATAACTGCTACAGAGTCGGTTAGCTCAATGAGGAAGCGTCTCAAAGAGAGCATGGCTACCTCAGCGAGGTCAGAAAACAGAACTCGACCCGTGCCACGTCTCAGAACACCCCACATGCCCGGCGTCGCCGCATGCCGACTGTCGTCTTTACGAACCTGTGATCGCAGTTGAAGCACAGCAGTTAGAGGACAAATGAGACTGTGTACGTGTTACTGTTGTTAGAGGAAAGGAGGATCTGAGAGGACGAGACAAACAGCAGAAACACAGATGAGTACATGCATAGAGGACAGGAGAAAGGTGTGGGGCTGACACCAGCTGGGCCCAGTTCTGCAGCCATGCGTGCAGCCTCTTGGCAGCACGCGCATAACACATGCTCAAAGCATGCAACGCCTGAACTTCTTCTGTGACACCTAATCCAGCTAATGTCACCATTTGACGCGCAGCTGCAGCATAAACGTGCAAAACGTGCAGGTTAGCGGACTTTACCCACAAAATCAAAAATAACCTGCAGCGTTGTTGTGAGACGAGGTTACATTTAGATCCTTTCCTGGCTTGTTTTCAGCCTTTGTGCTTGTGTGCTGCCGGGATGCAAAAAGACTCTGTTATTCCCGGTGAAGTCATGTGAAATTAGCGGGTCATTATCGCCATTACAGTTCACTCCCTCTACTTTCACGGCCACTGTGGAGCAACTACAGCTGCGTGGAAACAACGATTAATTGATGTTATCCTACGTTGTAATTGGTATCGCATGAAACATGTTGCTGCTCTGTGGTTGGGTTAGACTTCAGCCTCTAAAGTCTGGACGTCACCTCATTCAGAAGCAACACAGACAAGCAGAGCTCCACTTTTTATGCCCGTTTTAATTCATCAGCCATTAATCAGACCTCCTTACAGGTCTGTCAGCAACGCCAGCCCGCCTCCATCCACATCCGACGGCTTCGGCGTGTTCTTCACAAGGGAGAGCAGGTCCGGAACATGTGTCGACATGTTTGCACACGTGGTAATTGGTACGGACACGTGTCTCACATGTGGTGTGCATGTTATCCCCAGGGCTTCACGTGTAAACATCCAGAGTGCAGAGAGTGCACCCTCAGACTTCTGTAACATAAAAATATTCTCCTCACGGGAAGTGATGAGTCGCGAGACTCCTCCAAAGTAAACATTCACACACGACGGTTGGTGTCAGTTAATCAGATAGTTCGACTGCAGATGAATTCCTGAGTTAGCGGAGGCTTAAAGCACGAGACTAACCCTTTTATTTCATCACATTTCATTTTCACACAGCAGTTGTTTGTCAGAAGCCTCCTTTTAAATCCCAGCTCCTGCTGTCAGAGAGCGAGAGAGGCAGGTGTGTGGTTACTCCTGGTTCTGGTCTACAGGGCCTTACATGGACAAGCACCATCTTACATTGGTGATCTTCTCAGTCCCTACACCCCCAGCAGGTCCCTGAGGTCCAGTGATCAAAGCCTACTGGTTGTGCAGCACCAGGCTAAAGGTCAAAGGTGACAGATCATCTGCTGCTGTGGCCCCCAGACTCTGGACCTCTCTCCCCCTGAGCCTGAGATCAGTGGACTCAGTGGTCTCCTTTAAAAAGCAGCTGAAGACTCACTTGTTCAAGCTGGCTTTTGTATGACCTTCTTCACCTCTCTCTCTTTATTCTGCTCTCCCCACCTATAGAGCTCCGGGAGTTGATGTCACTTCTCCCGGCATGCAACAGTTCAAATCGAAACGGCGCCATATTGGCAGGCAGAAGCCGGCAGCTGGACTATTTGTTATTGTCAGAAAACTCAATCAAACGGGAAATATGGTAGATTCCTGTTGTGCCCCAGGATGCAGAACAGACGCGGACAACGTAAGGAATGAGTCATCTACAGGATTCCCCAAGATCCGGAGCGCCGCAAACGTTGGATCATTGTAATAAAACGCGCTAGTGACCGGGTTAAAATGAAGCTGTGTGACCCCGAGAGTAAAGGTTTTCGCTTATGCAGCGACCGCTTCATATCAGGTACTTAAACCAACGTTTCCTCAACTGTGTATGGTATTTATTTTAAACGCTTTTATTATGATTCTTAGTGGGCTTCCTAAACTTATTTTGGCGTGGCTTTTTCTGTCTTATTACTCATAGCAACAAGTAAACGTCACGTAAAACGTTGCCTCGTGAGTTCTGCGTGCTGCCGTTTACGTGTTTTATGATCACAGCAATTAACCGGCTAAGCTGTATTTCATTTTTAAGCAATGGTTGATCAGTTGTCAGATCACACATAAAAAGCACTTTGGATTGCTATTATCTGTCTCACCGAGACGGATCTCAGACAGATCCTGAGACGCTCCTGCCTGACATATTTATCTTATTCACGAAAAAAAATCAGACTAGTGATTTCTCTTGGTGTTCAGTTTATACATTCAAACAGCACAGCACTCGATTTAAACTACTTACATGTAAATCTGTTATTTGTCCGTCCATCCATCCATTTTCATCCGCGTATCCGGAGTCGGGTTGCGGGGGCAGTAGCGTGACTTCCCTCTCCCCAGCCGCCGGAGCCAGCTCCTCCGGGTAACTCCCAAGGGGTTCCCCGGCCAGGTCCGGTAAGAAGTCCGCTCCGACAGCTTCTGGCGTTTTTAAAAAGTATCCCAGGGGCACGGTAAGGGTCGGAGATGTTTAGTCTATTTAATTTCTGACTATATAAAACGATTTCTTCTGTTTTAAAGTGTGAAGTAAACTCCGACGAAGTAAAATCCAAGCGGATCCCGTTCATGTTCATGGTTACATCCGTGTTTGTTTAACTTTTTTTCCTGCCAAAATGGCGTCCACTAACTCAGAGTCACGTGAGGTCCGGAGCTCTATTCCACCTTCCTCAGGATCCACTGATTTCCCTCTTTCCTGTTCACTCTCTCTCTTTCTTAACATTTTTTAATCACAATTGTCACTTTTTTGCTCATTTTAAATATATTTTTATCTAAATTCTTTTTTATATTTTACATTTTTTGTTTTTGTGAAGCGCCTCGTGATTTTCATCTGGAGGCGCTATAGAAACGATCTTTTCTTCTCCTACCATGGTGACCTCAATGAGCCACTGGCAGCAGCATGAACATTGTTGCTGATTTTGCATCTCTTTACATTTAATTTACATCAAAACTATATTTTGTCTCCGCTTAGATTATTAAAAAGGTGATGTTGGAACTTCAGACATCCTTCAAAAGGTTTTAAGAAACGCTCATAGTCAGAGTCTTTTTAAGCCCGAGGCGCAGTGCGAGACATCTGATTAAACTCGTCTCTTTAACCAGAGAGGGAAATTTACGGCAGAATCCCACAGCTAATTACGGAACAAGTCCCCGTCGCCCCGTGCTGCTCCCCACCTCATCCCTTGAAAAGATCCTGAAACACTTGTAATTAGAAGACGCTGGGGAAAACCCAACCGCAGCACAGGAGGCCTGCCTGTCACAGTACGTGTTCCTTAAAAGCAAAATAAAAAGCATCTGACTTTTGAACTTTGGGAAGACGCCTGCAATAAAGTAGGAGGAATTGGAGCAAAAGCTACACGCCGTCAAACAAATCAGCCTCTCCCTTCTGTTAGCTGTAGGCTTTTCGTTCAGCGGTGCCTCTCCTCCTGCCTGACTGGCATTTTCATGGTCAAACCCACCTGAAAAGGTAACCCGAGCCCAAATTCTGCTCCCAAAGAAACTGTAAAAATACAAACACGAGTCTGGGGGGGGGGGAAATGTCAAGTTTTCCGTTAAGAGCTTTTGAAAGTGGAACCTCTTGCTCAATGTTGTCACAAGGCGAGTACGTACATCGTCTACATGCACGCACACACTCCATACGCCAGCTAGATCTGAAGTACTAGGTGATGTGTTTCAATGTCAGCGAATGGGACTGAGGTTATCTGGTGTTGACAGAAACAAATGCAGGCGGTGTCGGCCCCTGAGAGACAGCACAAGCATGTTTTCTGTTGCTAACTCATGCTAGGAAGACCACATTCCAAAAAGCCACGCAACAAGCATTCAGAGAAAAGGAACAATACGTACAATGTGAGGCTGGGATCTGCGCTGGCCGTAAAGCTGCAGGCTCTGACACACAAAGCAGAGAAAACCTTCACCTTCACGAGCCTTTGTCGGGTTTACAAAGACGCCAAGTTGATTTGACACGACTTTAGCCGTCATCCCAGATTAGTCCTGACATTTTTAGGCCTAAAAACCCCAGAGTGTTCCTCCTTGTTACACAACATAGACGTGCTCCCGAATCTAGAGTGCCCTTTCTGATGATCTGTTTGATATTCATACGGGTGTAGGGATCCATTCAAGACTGTCCAGAGATGCTAACGTTCGTCTTGGCAGAATAAGCTCCTCCGTGTGGTTTTTGCTCGATAAGACCTCAAAGAGTATCTCTTATCGCTTTGTTCATCCCGACTGTTTACATCCACCTGCATGCAGCATAAGAAGGCCCAAGGAGATGAAAGCCTCAGGCATGTTTTACCCTGCATGACCACAATCACCTCCGTGCAGCCGCTGCTCTCTCGCCAGGATTACTCAGAAGTGTTCTCTAAAGTGACTTTTTATTAGCGCTGACTCGTTTATTTTCTGACTAACGACAAGGATTGCACGCTGTAACAAACAATGTGGCCTTCATAAATTAATATAGCATTTGTAACATTACTAACTGAGATAAGGCAACGTGGGCAAACCTGTGTTTGATTATTTCCTCTCAGTTAATCACATTTTTCAGATTAAATGTCATAAAAATAAGAACAAATAAGAATCTGTTGCGTGCAGCATGAGGCCTTGGCGCCGAGTCGCTCTGCTTTTGGAGCTGATAACTTGGTAAAAACCAGAAGTAGACTAGATTTACAGCAGCTGTTCTGCTGAAAACAGGAGTGAAATCTGCAAAGTGCTTCTCTAGTGAGTCCATCACATTAGCCGTCTTCCAAGATGCTAACACCTTTTCTGCTGCAGGATCCAACCCTGTACCTACTAATACGGCCTTGGCCGTTTGTCCTCCCTGTATAAATAGTTCATGGTTTCTTCATCTCTTTGCAGAAGTGTCAAAAGCATTTACATTCAGTACTCGGGTAGAGGTACATACAGGGTTTTAAAAGACTTCTGCATTAGTAGAAGCATCAATTAAAGCTTTTACTCGAGTAAAAGTAAAAAAGTACTGGTTTCAAAACTACTTAATGAATAAAAGTAAATGAATTTAAGTAAAAAAAAATAAGCAACTGAAAGCTCAAGACAAACCACAGTACCAACCCAAACCCACACCTCCCTAAAACATGTATACTAAAGGCCATAAGGACGGTAATGTTATGTAACTAAGGTAATATGGGATACACTACCTACCTGTTTCAGCTGACTGTACGCTCGTTGAACATTAATGCAACACAAATACATTAAATGAACCAAGTGTGGTTGGTACACACCAGCAGGGAGAACAGTAAATGTTTAAAATTATTATCCAACCACAATCAAACTGAATCTATCACGACGGCACAATTTAAAAAGGCTATTTTTAAAACGTAAGGAGTAGAAAAGTCGTCTAAGATATTTACTCCAGTGAAGTGCAGGAAAGGTTCAGTAAGGTAACCAAGTACTGCTGGAAGTTAAAACATTAGAAGTTCATTTATTTCAGTTATTCAACTTAAAGATGAAACTAATATATGAGACACTCATTCTGTGCTAATCCAGATGTTTCAAGCCTTTATTTGTTATAACTGCGATGACTTACAGCTTATGACAACCCCACATTCAAAATCTCAATTAGAATATTGTGAATATGCCCAGTATTCTAGGCTCAAAGTGTCGCACTCTAATCGGCTAATGAATCCAGAACACCTGCAGAGTGTTCCTGGGCCTTTAGATGGTCTCTCAGTCTGAGCTGGATTACTGACATAAATGGACTTTTGCACCATATTTTCATTTCTGGTGTTTCACCTAAAAAAAGTTTCTATTCTTCTTTACTGAACCTCGACCGTTACTAATAACACACACAAGACTGAGCCGCACATATTTAGACTTTGTTTCTGCTGCTATCCCCGTGTGTTTCTACTGAACTCCCAAAAACATTAGATACAATCCACCGAGTCAAAACCACAGGTGAATTTCCAGATGAACTAGAGGCGAGTCTGTACTGGGAGCAGAGCTTCATTTATCACTGATCAAAGGATTTCTAGATGGAAAAAAATAACTCAAAAATCGGGGCTTCATCGACATCCTTATGGTCACCCTGTGAGTACAGAGGATACAGGAAGGACTGAGCTACCTTTAATATGGAATGTGTCCCTGGAGTTTCACTAAAGCATCAAACACTGAGTCCTAAACCAACTGAACAAAAAATCTGAGAGAAGCCTGGCCTAGACCTCAAAATATAGCTTCAAGATCTCCACATCTTGGTAAGAAGCAACGTAAATTTCATGTCATCTACTCGTCTTTGCAGCTGTACTAAATTATCATCAATTTCACGGATGTTTGGAAATGTTTGGTCATTTGGAATAGAAGCCATTACAGTAAATTAGAGTGACTTCACGGGGAGCGCCACCAGGGGTGCCTCCAAAAATTTTTTGATAAGGGTGGCCAGATGGGGCCAAAGAAATTTTTGGGGTGGCATACCAAATTGGCCCTTGTGGTGACTCTGGTTGAATTTAGCCTGTGGCGATGTGCTGCATTGCACCTTTATTCGTTTTTATTAAAATAACAGTACGTATCCAAAATATTTAACTTAAATTTTACAAACACAAACATTTTAGAAAAATACATTTCAGTTATTTAAAATGTTATCCCTAATTGAATTTAAAAATGTATTTTTTAAGGTTAATTCACCCATTGCTGTGTTCACAAAAAAAAAAAACTATGGAGATAAAACTTTTTTAAAATGGCAGAAACATGTGTATTTTTTATTCTGATTATTTCTTTACTCATTCATTGTAATATTTGATTTTGTTTTATGATTATGTCTTGAATAAGCAAGATCAATATATGGTTTCACTGAACACTAATATGATTTATTAACACTGGCTTTTCCTGGAGGGGCCAGCAATTTTCAAGGGGTGGCCATGGCCACCCCTGGCCACCCCTTGAGGGCCCCCTTGAGCGCCGCACCACGTCCCAGAAGCGCCGTGCCGAGGCGCTGAGGAAGGGCACCAGCTCTATTTCAAGCATCGCCGTGGCTGTTTACAACATTGTTGAGTACTTTACAGACGCAGACACTGCGACGCGGAACGGCGTTACGGCACAAACCCAACTGCAGTTCTGATAACTTTAAAGGCCCCGTGTGTGAAATCGTTTGAAATCATGATGAAAAAAGTGACTCTTTAGCACCGTGCAGTTCAGAGAAAGTATTGCATCTATGGAGGCCCACTCATGAGTTTGACTGTATAATCAATTTCCAACCTGTGTAGTGAAACCCACACAAAGCTTAAAACTAGCTACTCGACCTCTTTCAAAAAATATTTATGACTATGACTGTTTTATCAACCTACCAGTTCTGAAGGAAGCAAGCTAGTTCTGTTCTTGAATTCACACACGGAGGAGGGGTGACGTCAGCCGGGAGGTCAGGTGTTGTGAGAAATTGTGTTCCCCTGAAATATTCTGCCTACATCGCCATTAGTAACGTGTTGTGGGAATAAAGTAAACAACGCTGATTTAGCCACTGGCTAACGGACGAGCGTGTTGAGCGAGACGGCAGTCTGCGGGAAGAGAGGAGACTTGAGTAGAAGGACTTGGGAGCGGACACGTTGGGACCGGATCGGGAGTTCTGGCACTAGGAGAAGACAGATGAACAACTTGAGGTGAGTTTGGGAGTCAGAGACACTAATTGGAGGCTGGCGTCCAGCTAATAGCGGACGGGGGTCTTAACATATAATAATAATATTAATAATAATGCATTGAACTTATATAGCGCTTTTCTAGACCCCCAAAGACGCTTTCACACACTCTCACATTCACACACTGCTAGTGATGGTAAGCTACTTGTAGCCACAGCCGCCCTGGGGAGGTCTGACAGAGGCGAGGCTGCCATTCGGCGCCGTCGGCCCCTCTGACCACCACTAACACAGGCAAGTTGGGTGAAGTGTCTTGCCCAAGGACACAACAGCAGGATACCCCTGGCGGGAGCTGGAATCAAACCCACGACCCTCCGATCATGAGGCAACCCGCTCTACCACCTGAGCTACTGCTGCCCCAAATATGCAACAATATGCAGCTTCCTCGTGTTGGACATGATGAGAAACTGACAAATTTTATGTGTCTTGACTTAAATTGTTTTTTTTGTTCAAACTAACAAGTACAACAACGGTGTAGCTATTCTTTTCTATTCCTTAGTTGAATTAGCAGACTCCATGTGTCCAGGGCGCACTGCTGCCCTCTGCTGGTTCTTTCAGGTTACAGTCATAGTCCAAACGGGTAACGTGGAGCTCGTATGTCCCTAAACATGGTGGATGACCGTGGAGCGTCGACCACAGTTTACGTATTTAAAAATGTATAATTTCAAGTTGAGAGGAATATTTAGAATTGATGTTGGTGAGAAATATTAGTGAAAAAGGACACGTTTGTGAACTGGAAACACAGGAATTGATAGTAAACTGGTAAAAATATCACACACTGGGCCTTTAAAGTACTATGAATCTTAAAATATTCTAATAAATAACATACTTTCCCATTTTTAATGAAGTCTGATCACGTATAAACAATAGAGTCACTTCCCGATTCCTATTTTCAAGTCCCGCGTGATGTTGTGACTATCGCGCGACTTTCCATGAAGCGCTCAGCGGCGAGGCGCGTCCTGTGTGACCACTTGACTTCTCAAAACCGCAGCGCTTATGCGGCGCATCTGTCTCCGGTGTGCCCCAGGCGTCTCTGATGCCATATTCCAGCATTTTCCGATTGTTCATAATAACAAAACTCCACGAGGTGTACTCGACTGCTCTACAACAACAGAGGACGGTGAACTGTGGAGAATTTCCGGTTCTGTCCTGACCTGAGCTGAGACTCTGCCCTGCCAGTTTTCTGCACCTGTTCTTGCAGCCAGTCACAATACCTCTGCAGTCCAGTGCGTATGCACCAGATACAGCCTATGGTATGTGGGATGCGTGGTGGAGCAGTTGTTGGCACTGTTGCCTCGCAGCAAGAAGGTTGCAGGTTCAAAACTCAGCTGCGGCCGTTCTGTGTAGAGTTGCGTGTTCTCCCCGTGCATTTGTGGGTTTCCTCCGGGTACTCCGGTTTCCCCACAGATCACAACATGCCCTATAGGTTAACAATTGTACATCGCTTTGGATAAAAGCTTCTGCCAAATAAACATAGCATAAAGGTCGCTGCACCCAAAAGGAACAGGAAATTCATCAGAGGACGATTTTGTCGTGGTAAAAGTGTGAAATAACATTTTTAAATTACACTTTAAACTACACTTAAATACAGTACTTTTAGTCTGTGTGATGCAGGGATCGTAGTGCTAATCAAAGGCAAGTGAAACAAAATCTCTTTAAACTCACGTGTTGGTCCAGTCTTTCAACGTCCTCTGCAACTTCTTTTCTGTCCTTTTTCTTTCTAAAGATTTCTTCCAGCTACAAGAAAAAATATGGAGACGATGACACATCCATTACTTATTGATGTTCGTGTCTGATAATAACAACAACGAGGATCATACCACCAAGAACTCCCGTTTGTCCACCATTTCATTCCCGTCTGCATCAAACATGTTGAAAGCGATCCGGAAGCCTGCATGAGGCTCTGCAACCGAACCAGAAGGTGAAGTAACTCTTTTATTTATTAAGGATTTTTGAAGAAACTTTCCTGGATTTAGATCAAGAAAACACTGACTTGTTAAAATGCAGAGCAGGAAGAGGTACTCTGTGTAACTGATGACACCTGGAACAAAGAGAAACACGAGTCGAGGTGAGAAACAAAAACCAAAATGTTCCTTTTTGCTCTCACAATGGCATCAAATGGAATTAGCCAGCTAGCTCAAGGTGTTTACAGATGTTCAAAGTCACGCTGTCGAGATGAATAAGCCGTCCTAAGAACCGGGGCATGCCTCCAGCCTCCAGACATTAGTAATCTTCTGGTGCTCGCTGATAACATCTTAAAAGGTGCCTTTTTACTTCGTGCTTGGTGTTCCACTCACACAAACAGCAGCTTTACAACCGAGCTGACCTATCTGGACACAAACCCAAACAAATTTAAGGCCCGTGGCTTCTGATCGTGCTTGGGTAACAAGGTGTAATACATTCCCAAGTAATCTGTCACTGATTGAGAATGGCCGAATTGCGTTTTGTGTGGCGTCCTTCAGCTCCCTTTGTTGTGTGGAAGAGTAAGTGTCAGGAGACATCTCAGCCGACTCTGGAGGCTTCTCCCTCCTGCCTCTGAAAGCATTCCCAAGCTTTTTGTTTGCCCGGGATGATAGAGAATCGGGAGCAGATAGTTCTGGGTGACTGCTCTGGGTGTTATGGGAAAAGATCTCAGGCACAAGCTTTGCTGCAGGGAGATATTTTCAGAAAGGAAAAGAGAGGAGGAAAGAAACAAAAAGCTCATTTTTAATAACTTTTCTTAAAAAGCAGATCAGATAACACAAAGGCCTTTAACGCACATTGTTTACAGGATGAAAAAAACAGAGCTTCTAATTAAGTATATTTAACAATTAAGATTTGACTAATACTAGATTATATCATCAGGATCGATGAGCTAACCGCTAGTCTGAGTTCAACCATGAGCTTCCAGCTTAAAACGTGTGACACGAAAATTAGCCTGAGCAGAAAATTTAGACACTTTCAGATCAAAAGTTTAAAAGAAATGTTGAATGTTTTCTTCAAACATTGAATTCATACAACAAACCACCGCCGAGCTACCTGGAGAGTCAACGGGAAGAGACTTTGCTAGCAGCATTACTGTCCTGGCTGACCCAATAATCTTTACACATGTCTGAGTTTAGAGTTTTGTGTCTGAAGCATCCACAGCTGTTTGTTTTCTAGCTCAAGATGGCCACCAAAACAGAACGTTATTCAGAGCCCCGTCAGTTTGTTCATATTGCCACATTTCCAGCTCAGACCAATTTCTTTTGTGAAAAACAAGACTTTTAGCAAGTGACTCCTAGAGCAGTAGTGTGCAAGCATAAATATTGCCAGCTTCAGCTAAATCAGGTGGAATTTCTTCATCTTTCTGCCAAAATAACAGGAGAAGCTGCACCATGTTACGCAAGAGCATCGGCATAGCAATGTTCATACGTGCAATGGTTACATGGCAGGTTCTGATGTTAACCGGAACCAGAATGTTAACTGGTTATGGGATAAAAAATGTGAGATGCTGTTTTCTAAATTTCATTGATCAAAAGCTTAACTCGTTCACTGCCATTGACGACTAAAGTCGTCATTTTAAATCCAACTGTTCACGGACAATGATGCCAAACGTCATCATTTGCATTTTTTTACTGTGTGGGCGTTGGAACGAGCCCCCGCACCGTGAGAAAAACATCTCAGCTCTAAAGCCGATCTTCATCTGCGTACGTCACTCGTCATGTGATCAGGAAGCAGAAAATCCATGTGTTAGGAGATCGCTTTGGGCCGTTGCTGTAAAACACATATGTCAGAGTCGCGGCCCGTGGAGCATTTTTATGTGGCCCGCGAGATAAATATAAAAAATATATTAAAACTGGCCCGCTGGCCGATTTTACCGCAAAGACTTAAACTCCCATGATGCTTTGCGGCGTCAACGCGGAGCCGACGCACCCCTTCCTTTGTGTTTTTTCAGCGCCTGCTGCCGGTGTTCTGAGAATTTCTCCTACCCGGTAAACCGTCCTAGCCGTTGTTACTGAGCATGTGCACGCATGGGCACAACACAAAAGGGGAATGCTACTCAGCTGTCATATTTGCAGGAAAATAGACAAGTAGTAAGTATTAGTACTTCTTCTCTTTGGTTAGGGTTAGGGTTTGGGTGAGGCATAGGGTTTGTGTCATGTAAAACAACGTAAAATTCTACTACGGGTAGGACGTTTTGCCAAAGTAGGACGTTTTCTCAGAACACCGGTCTCTGCAGCTCCGCGGTCTCGGACAAACTACACTCCTCTCACTCAGCGCCGAGTTCACTCAGCTATTTTCTGACGTTGAAGCCCAGAAACGGAGATTCTAGCCGCTCAGTAATGTGTTCACGACTGAAAGAGAAAGTTTTCCAACTAACGTCCAGACAGAGCTGATATAACTCCAGCGAGCAGCGACACCCTCAAACCAGCACGACTCTGTGGCTGCTGTAGTTGTTATTTTTCCTCCCCGACACACAACAACGTGGTCAAGCTGCTCAGACATGTTCATCAGCACAAACCTATGTGAGCACCTGTTGTCATCTAATGTTGTCATTATTATGATGAAGATGAACAAAACAACAGGAGTCTCCTCCTCAGCTCAGATCAACCCCATGATGCAGGTATCTGGCTGGAACAGGTGAGCATCACAGTAAACGAGTGGAGCAAACTGAGCTTTAAATATGTTGGTTTTATGCTCTTTTTCTGCTCCAAAACATGAAAGTTAACAGGTGAGATGTTGCATTTTCATTTAAGATAAAATGATATTTTTATTTTGTTGTTGGCCCGTGAGCAAAGATTTAACCTACAGTAAACAGGAAGTGGAAAGGCTGCAGATAGATGAATAGAATAGAAAATCCCTTTATTGTTCCTCAGTGGGGAAAGCTAGACGTCACAGCAGCGATGACACGTATTACAGGAGAAAAAAAGGAGAATAAAAAATAAGAAAAATGAATAAACAAGAAAACATAAATCCTGAATAGATTTAAAAAATGCTGATTATACCACAAGTAATGATACCACTGATGCCTTTTATTTGAAACTGACTTGCTCGTGTGTAATTTGGTTATTCCACATTCAGTGTTAATGCAGAAATAAGTTTGTTTCCAAATTTAAAGGTTCAAAATTGCATTTATGTTGATAAAGAAAATGTGCAAATTTGCCGTCACTTTTTCAAAAATATTAAGTTTGGCCCTCGACTTCGTCCCAGAGTTTCATTTCGGCCCCGTGTGAGTTTGAGTTTGACACCCTTGCTGTAAAAAAAAGTGAAGCGCGAACCGGAAAAGGTTCTGCCGATCACAATTCAACAAAAAATTATGAAAGGACGAATAAAGCTTGAAATGCTCGGATTCTTCCTGATGTAAGAGGTGAGTCTCCGCTTTGTTTTGGTTGTTTTGGTGTCGACATCATCCTAGCGAGCAACGTTCTGTGACTCTTAAAAACAGTAAAAACGGTGAGAAACGCTGGCAGTGAATGAGTTAAACATCAGACTTGATTCTGTAAAGATTTCAAGCTAACGTGAAGATGCTAACGAAAGGTATGAAGAAAACTTTGTAAGAAAAGAGCATCTGAAGCAATTCTGAAGGCTTTCGGCGATTATGTTCTTGGTTGTGGTCTAACTATTTTATTGGCGAACAATAAATGGACCCTTGTGGATGGAAAAAGGCCATTTTTGCTCAAGGCGGCTCTGTTCTGTCAATTATACGGTGACTTCTTTTGCATTTCTGAGCGGTTTGACGAAGCGTTTACTGGTGGTGCTGCAAATAATCCAGCTGATTTGACCCAGAAGAATGCACTTTACCACTGTAAAATACCAACATGGTAATTGTCAGGAATGCAGGAATTGGTAGAAATGCATCATAATGTTATTCAATAATAGCCACATAATTCATATGTGGTTATTCAAGCCACCATTTGGAAATCCATGTCATTTTTAATGAGGGACTGCACACCATCACAACACGTAACTCCACCCCTAGTCAATATTTAAAAAATGCTATGAAAGTGGGCGTGGCCAGGAGGCACAGAGTGGCACGGCCAAGTGTGGGGAATTTCTATCCCGGGAGGAAGGGGGAGTGGGAGGAGACTACCTATGACATGTAATCGTACCAGCCCCAGTTACTCACAAGTTTAAAATGCAGTAGCCACAGTTCAACCCACAGGGGGCAGCACTAAGATGTTTCTAGACCTAGATTCTAGATTTAATCAAGTTTACATAAACATGTCAAAAAATGCACGGAAACAGAAAGATTGCATTTGTAAAGACCCAATTATACAGTTTATAAGCAAAAAACATTATTTTGGGGTTTAGTTACTGTGGTTAGAAAAAGACTGCAATGTGTATTTTTTCTAAAATGGAGCCGCTCAAATATGGTGTAAATGTTTCTAATGCTGTTTCGAGATGGCAGTCACAGTGACGGCGCCAGGGGGTGCTATAGCTACCCCTGGATTAGTCACTGCACCCCCATAGCACCCCCAAGTAAATATTAGGTTTTTGTTTTTTTACAGTTTAATCTTAATTTAATGTGCGGATGTGATCATATTTAACATACGAAACAAAAATAGTCAGTAAATTATCATATAGATAGTAAAAACTTAAACCAAAACAGGAGATTGATGTTAACCTTTGACCTCATTTTCCACCTGCGAACGAGTGAAAGGTAGAGCTAGCGGTAAGATGGATCGGTTTTTGTTGCCCACATTTCCACGGGTTCAGTCAGAAACGAATGAATGTTTGGAAGTGATCTCAAACCCACAAAAACCTACGAATCTGGATGAAGAGGGTCAACCCTCAACCGCCGCAGCAGTCCAGGGTTTTGCCGCTGCAAATGCTAACGCTAACGTTAGCTAACATTGCAACACTATAGATGGTTTTCTGTGTGGCTGTATGTGTTTATGATTTCATGGAAAAGTCAGCGATTGTTCATATGTTTATGATGTGTATTAATGATTGTTTCAGGTGTTGTTGAGGTGTTGTGCACACATGTGTATCTGCTAGTGTTGAAGGTGTTTTAGACCCTGTCCACACGTAGCCGGGGATCTGCCAAAATGTAGATATTTTTCTTCGTTTTGGCCTGTCATCCACACGAAAACGGAGTTTTTTCACACGAAAACGCATCATTTTAAAAACTCCGGCCAAAGTGAAGATCTGCGTTTTCTCCGTTTTGGGTGTCTGCGTGTGGACGGACAAAACCGGAGTTTTAAGGTCCGCAACGTCACTTTCCGCGACAAAAAATGCTGACATCACGTGTGCGACCTGTGTTTACACTAGCCGACAGCATGGATGCCCTCAGAGCTGCGCTCTGTCACTACCCGATCCATCAATTGTCCAAGCGCTTTCTGCTTGTTTGGTTTTGCAAGAGGAATTACTGCTCCTTGCGGAAGACCACAGACGAAGGACGAGGTTAAGAACGGGGGAAGTACTGCCACCTACAGGTCTGGCATGTCCTTAACAACGTATTTATCCGGGTACGCGGTGGTGTGGATGCAAGTTTTTGGAGGGGCGGATATTCGTTTTCAAAAAACCCCGGCTACGTGTGGACTAGGCCTTAGAGAACAATAGGTACGCATGACCACTTCCTTCATAGCACCCTCAATAAAAACACTAGCTCCTTCATAGCACCTGCAGAAAAAAATTTCTGGAGCCGCCACTGGTCTGTCATACTTTTGGTTCTTAAACTAGCTGTTAGCTCATTAATCCTTTTGGGTGTAAACCCTGTTTCTCCAGACCGAGGCTGTTCAGGAAACGTTCTACAATGATGTAAATTATTTTGTAACATGCTTCGAAATGGACAAATGTTCCTTTGAGGATGGCCCATCTAAAAAAATAACGCCTCAGAATGACAACAGATCTTCACCTTCAAAGGCCTTGAAGCTTAAATGGGTTGAAGAGAAAAACCTTTAAGATTCCTGTCATCTCACCAATACCACACACCTTCACTGGTGGAAAGAGCTCGCTCCTCCTCATAGCTCAAGTAGTTGTTGTTAGACAATACAAAAAATTCCACAGAAACACTCCATACAGAGTGGCATTCCCGGGGATGTAATCCAATGCTGTTCTCTGGCTTCATAATGTCCATGGCGATCAGGAGGGGGGGCAAGGGGACATGTCTTAACATAGCAGGGTTCAAACAGCTCCCTTATTCTCGAAAGCAACGCTTTGTTCACAGATCAATCCAGAGTTTTCTTTCTTTGCCTGACAAAGCTGTAGTGTTTAACAGCAGGATTAAAAGCCTCCAATCCCAGCGTTGGCACTTAGCTAAAGCAACAGAGGAGTCACCATAACCGAGGATAAACTCGGGAACGTTGAGGAAAAAATATATATCTGTTTCAGTTCAAGCAAAGAAAAAGCCAAGAGTCAATCTGTTTCAATATCAGTGCGTAGGTTTTCATCAGTGAGCTATTTATAAATAAATAAATAAAAGCAGTAATGTTTATACATTTAACCTACCATTTAAAGGGGAAGTAGACAGGGTCAGCTTGCTTTTAACTAGGGATGGGTACCAAATTCAGTACTTTTTAAGGTACCAACAGAATTCCATAATACCGACCGAGTACCGTTTCACGTCATATGAAACGGTGCCTCGTTCCGATACCCGTCCTTCATAACGAGAACTAGCGAGACAGCGATTTGCCAAGATAGACAGCGGCGTGTGCACAAAAGCGTCATGTCATCAGGCGAGCTGTAAACAGAGCAGCATGGCAGAGAGGAAGCATTCTGAAGTTTACTTCCACTTGACTGAATGGGATGGGTAACTGGGTGATGATGAAACCAGCAACAACGATCTAAGTGAGGCATCATCATCTTAATCTGCTCCGGTAAAATGTTTAAGATTACGTTAGCTTGATATGTTAGCTTGTGTTAACATTGCTATCAGCTAATGGTGCATTCGCTTTCTCCTCAGAAATTCCAACTTCCGAGTAGGAAGAAAAGAACTGCAAAGGGATTGAAGATACTCAGTAAATTTGGTTCACAGCAGAGATGTTTGCTTCAGTGTAATTAGCAGTTTATATAACTACATGGACTCACCATCACACAGTTTGTCCAGAGGGAAAAAAAAGAGGATCAGGAGTACATGGAGCCGGGTTTCCATTTTTGCATCAAGTTGTAGTTAAAGGTTTTCATAGTGAAGAATGTTGTACAACACCACAATGATAAAATACAAACAGTTGTATGTTATTTATTGTGATATTTATCAAATATGGTTATATATAGAGAAAAATATATATATTTAATTATAAAAAAGATTTAAATAATTATTAAACACTCAAAAGTTTCGAAAATTGGTACAGTTGGGTATCGGTATCGATCGGGAATTGGTTCCATATCGATTCAAATGTCATTTCAAATGTTTTTATTATTCATCGCATTATTTTATTTTTATAGTGCTGTTAACTGTTCTCCTATTTTATTGTTTTTAGTAGGAATTTTTAAATCTGACTATTTATGCTTTGTTCTTATGTATTTTGCCTGTTCTTATTGTGTTTCTTGGTCACGCATTTGGCTTTTTTTATGTACAGCACTTTGGTTAGCTGCCATTAGTTAGTTAGTTAGTTAGTTTGGTTAGTGCCACAATAGCCACATGCTATTGTGAAATGGTGCTTAATAAATAAATATGGTATGGTAGATGTACCCATCCCTACTTTTAGCACCCCCTGGTGTCCGTTTGTAGATCCGAAAGCAAAACTTATCTCCTTGCTGTGCGTTCTCTTTTTTAACACCTCAATCTAAAAGCTGAAACGTCTCCCAGCCTTCATTAGTGTCTACAGGAGTGATTGATCACTCAATTAAACAAATGTGTTAAAGGTCTAACCCCCAAATTCCACTACCTCCGCTCCGGTCCGCCCCCGCCTTCCGCAGCCGCTCGCTTCCGAACTCAATTTTTACTGGTACCCGCTTTACAACGGCTCCGCTCCGGTGCGGAGACCTGAGGTGGGCAAACAAGCATGTGCGGGATTTTCGAGATCTTGCGATACAGTCCGAGCAATAAACGCGGAAGTTAGATCCAAACACCCGTTGTGTGGGAGAAGCATCGGCATGAACTGTTTAATCTGCCCATCATTTGTGTTGAGAGATCAGCCGTGTTTGGATCAACAAAGTGTGACTACTTTGATAGTAGAAACTGTATTTATGGCTTACTTTTGTGCATTTAAACTTCAGCCGCCATTGATAGTTGTTAAAAGTTGTTAAACCTGTGCAAATGAAACAAAAAACGCTTTTTGTTTATCGATTTATTGTGAAATAACGGAAGCTGTGCTTGCTCCCTTTCCTGTTGGGCGGTTGTGATTTCTGTCCGTTGACTGCGGAGGTGCTCCGGCGTCCGGCAAAAATAGAATCGATCCTATTTTTGCCGGATGGCGGAACGGCGGGCGGCGCACGGCGCCGCACGGCCGCAGTAGTGGAACAGCTCTGATTGACTACAACGGGACCGATTTTGCTGCGGAGTTCGTGTCGGAGCGGAGCGCAGATAGTGGAATTTTGGGGTAAAAGACTCAGAAAACATGCTGGAACCAGACTGCAGCGCCGGGTGCGTCAGCTCCATTTTTTTTAAGTCCCATCAGAGCGGCCCGCCAGTCTGAAGTTGCAAGTGGGATATTCTGGCCACAGTGGGCGATGGGGCTGGGTGGCCTTAAAGGTCATTTTAGCACATACTGATTCAAGAAAATGATTTAAATATATTAAAAAGTTGCAAAGTATGGCTTTAACAGGTTGAATAATGATTCCTGCAAAATGATTTTATTTCATTTCTCAGGTCGAACACACAACATTTAACAAATTAAATATATTCTAGATCAATGTAAAAAAAAAAGGAATCCTAAATTTTAACTAAGAAATGTTTAGAAATCCTTTTGTTGCAATATTGCAATTATTATGCAAATAATAAAAAGTTTTTTTAATGAACTCTCCTGTTGACCCTTTTATTTTTACAAAACAAGCTTTTAAGTTTTTTCTGTGCAGCCTGGTAGCCAAATGAAGTGTGTATGTTACCAACAAAGGATCATTTCCTGCATGAGTTCCCTGCACATAAATAACATGTCATCAGGCTTATGACGTGCTGACAGCTACAGGGCACACCTTCTGCTGCAACAGCTCGAGCAGAATGGATTTATGGGTACCTCGTTCTCGGAGATTTCTGAACAAATTAGATGATCCTTTCCAAACAGGAGGGGTATCGCGCAGCATCTTCTCTAATTCCTGCAAAAACAGAAGAAAATCCGTTCGTTTCAAAGTCCCGAGTGATCTCAAAACGAGGCTGTTTGCTGGAATTACAGTAATTGCAGCGGTTTAAGGCAGACGAAGAGGAGAGTCAGCAAAAAAACAGCAGCTAGTGCTCTGATGACAACTCACCTTTTTGGTGAAGGACTTCCATCCTCTCTTACCTAAATGAAACGAAAAAGAAAAGTTGAAGCAAAAGTGAAAACCTGTTTATGTGGACAGAAACATAAGCAGTGCGTCACCACCAACACATTCCAGTGCTCTATAAAGCTGAAGATAAGAAGGAAATGTCATTAAAAAGTGGGAGGGAGATCACCCTCCAGTGACACATTTAAAGACTGTCTGGGATTTTAATTACTACGTTATGATTCCCTTTCTGAAGATATCCCTGATATTAAAGTAAATACGTGCAGAAACACCATCTCTTTACAACGACAATAAAACCGTTAAACACCAGTTTACCATTTCCTGCAAATCACCAATTAGCAGTGTGAGGATAACAGGAGTTGGTGTGTTGTTTATTTGTCCGCGAAGCGAAGCGCCATCCAACACGCCACACACCAGCCTTCACAGGCACCCTTCTCTTATCGTGACATTTATGGCATGCTCTCTGAGGAGCTCGGTTTCTGTGGGTCCCTGCAAGTTTGTTGCCACATAAATGAGCCATAAAGGTAGGGTTGCTGGTAAAGATGTGTATCTTTATCTTTATGCAGGTGTTATGACTGAAGCACTTAAAGCTGTGACTTATTGTCCGATGACACTTCAGAGCCTTCCAGGAAGCAGCACCGCAACATTTTTACACTGTTATTAAACCACTCAATCACTAATACTTTGAAAATAAAGACTTGACAGGCATTTACTGAGGAAGAATAGAAAAAAGTAGGTACTTTCTGCAAAGAAGAGCAAAGACTCTACCACTGATTCTGGAAAGTTGATGTTTTATCTCCAGAAAAAAACACAAGTCTGAAGGGGTTCTGTCATGTGTTGGAGTTGCTAATGCGAATGGTCTTCAGTCGGGAGAGGGTAGAATGCCTTCTCCGGGTCAGGGACGAGGTCCTGCCTCTAGTGGAGGAGTTTAAGTATCTCGAAGTCTTGCTCACGAGTGACGGAAAGATGGAGCGTGAGATCGATAGGCGGATTGGTGCTGCGTCTGCAGTGATACGGGCGTTGTACCGACCTGTTGTGCTAAAAAGAGAGCTGAGCCAGATGGCGAAGCTCTTGATTTACTGGTCGATCTACATTCCTACCCTCACCTATGGTCGCAAGCTTTGGGTGGTAATCGAAAGAACGCGATCAAGGATACAAGCGGCCGAAATTAGTTTTCTCCAGCATGGCAGGGCTCTCCCTTAGAGAAGCTCGGTCATCCGGGAGGGGCTCGGAGTAGGACTGCTGCTCCTCCACATTTAGAGGAGCCATTTGAGGTGGCTCTGGTATCAGATTAGGATATCTCCTGGATGCCTCCCTGGTGAGGTTTTAGGGCACATCCAACCGGGAGGAGACCCAAGGGAAGATCCAGGACAAGCTGGAGGGACTATGTTTCTTGGTTGGTCGGGAACGCCTTGGGATTTTCCCACAAGGAGCTGACCCAAGCTGGGTAGAGGGACGTCTGGGCCTCTCGACTTAGGCTGCTGCCCCCGCGACTCTGTGTGTGTGTGTGTGTGTGTGTGTGTGTGTGTGTGTGTGTGTGTGTGTGTGTGTGTGTGTGTGTGTGTGTGTGTGTGTGTGTGTGTGTGTGTGTGTGTGTGTGTGTGTGTGTGTATGGATGATGCCAACGGTGGGCTTCTACCAACCAAGATGCACTCTGCTCTCTCCTGAACGCAAAACTAAGGTACCAGGGCTTAATCAGTTTGACTTTGAACCGCGGTGTGAAATGCTGAAGTTAATCCACCGCTATGACTTCTACAACACTGCCGAAAAACAAAAAAAAAAAGACAATAGCGCGACCCTCACAGCCAAAAACACAAGCAAAAATGGAACGGATACACGTGGATGAAGCTGAACCAGCAGCCACCGGACTGTTTCCACCTAAGGGCTTGAATATTTTAGATATAATTACCCTTGTCTAAATAGTATTCTTACTCCTCAATATTTAAAATAAAGATGAACAAGTAGAAATTACCATTAAGCACATTCATTGTAACAAATTGGACTAGTAGCAACTTAGCATCTCGTTCCATGAAGGTGCCTTCATCCTTCAGTGTTGACTTGAATAAAAGTCATGTGTAAACGTCATAACTGAGCAGTTATAAACAGTTAAACCTTTATTTGTCTCGTTACAGAAACATAAATTAGGCTACAAGGCTAATCAAATCTATTTTTAGGGATGTTCCGATTATGTTTTTTTGCTCAAACCGATTCCGAGTCATTTTGAGTATCTGCTGATACCGAGTCCCGCTCCGATACTTTTCAGAAAAGCATTAAAACAAGAAGAAAAAAGAAATAATTTTTAGCAAAGCATTAAAATAAAATAAAATGGGGGGGGGGGGGGGGGGGGGGTCAGGAAAACATTACAATAAGAAGAAAACATCCAAATCATTTAAGTTTCACTTTAAATTTTTTTAGGAAGCACACCGATTAAAAACTTGTTCATATTGAGAATTTACTTAAAAGTAGCAGCTTTGCTCTTATTTCAAGTTGTTTACTCCCTCAATATGCAGCTGTGAACAATGCGTGTTCACCATCGACATATATACTGGACAACTAATTTCCATAGGCTCCAATAACACGTTTTTGAGGACAAATGGGAGGTGGCCACCACCGCCATTTTAGCCGTGTCACAGGTTCCGTCACGCCCAGACAATTCCACAAAAGGGAAGAGAGGTGGAGCTGAGGGTGGGGCTGTAAAGCTGGGATCAACCGACGACACCCAGTCCAACTAGCTACAAGCTAACCTGAAGCAAACCCAAAGCTAATGCGGAGGTGGGAGCTAAGCTAACGGAGGTAGCAACCTAGCTACAACCGGAGTTAACTGTGCACAACACCAGAGCTTCTGAGTCAGAGATACGCCGGGCTGACCGCTGGGTAAAACCGGGAGGAAAACATCGGTCTCCCGAGAGCTCCAGAAGCCGATAGTGGGAACCCAGCTCCTCCAACATGTTATATTTCAACCCATTTTCTAAAGTGCAGCATTATGTTAAATGCACTGGGTTTTACCCTATTACATTTAAATTTCATGGTTAAACAGTACATGTTAAAATCTAAGCTCAGCTCGGCAGTGACCTAAAATACAAAAATATAATTTTACTTACCGAAAAAAATGAAGTGGAGACTCCTTGGACGCTCTATTAGTGCAATTAATGCCACAGCAAGTCATTTTGTCCAACAGTTGCACAAATAATATCCAAACAAGAATACACAAACACAGAGACTCAAAATCCTGGAACAGTTTCCAGGCCAGACCGAGGCTCTACTGAGGCCTTTCCACGGAGCTAGCTCTGTGGTCACGTGGGTCTGATGCTCATTAATTATACAGAATTTTAGGCTTTTAATACACTTAAACAGAAGAGTGAGAAAAAAATTCTCCCCCCTCAGAGTTGTCATGAGTGTAAACTAGATCATTTAAACCTAAAACATGTTCTGGTACCAGGCTGTAAACATGTTTATTTCTGCTGTGAAATTGGTATTTTTAACATGGGAGTCAATGAGGATTTGCTTGCTTCTGACACCAGCCCCTAGTGGATGAGGGTGGAACTGCAAATGTTGGTACTTCCGGGTTGGCCTCAATTTTTGAGCCGCATTGTGGGGGGCTTAGTGTTCACTTGACGGAGCAAGGAGGCGGAGCCGTCGGCAGGCAAGTTAACTTGTCTCTGCCGAACACCGGTAGCTCTAGCGTGCAGCACCGTGCTTCAGAACTAGAAACCCCGATGTTTTGCAGACTGTTGGTAATTTCTTTGTGTTTATTAGCGTAACTTTCTCTGTCGGCTGGCTTTGCGTTTTTGTCTGACTTCACTGTGAACTGTGGCTGTTAGACATAAACTGGGGATGAATGGAGACCGGTGATTTGCTTTGTTGATGCCCGAAGGGAAAAGCCGACAGCAAAAGTAGCTTGTCTGAAGGCAGCAAATCATGGAGCTGTGTCCGGTATGTTGAACACCCAGTTTGCACACATTACAAGTGTCTGTAGCTCTGCCTTTGCTCTCCGGTTTAAAACACCAAGCTGCAGATATTTTAGCTCTCCTGGGGAGACACGTTAGCTATGTGTTAGCAGGCTTGCTAACAGCGGCACTTGGTGTCCGAGTCCTTGCCTGCCGTAAATTGTGTGACGTTACTGTGTTGTTTTCATACAAGAAACAAATATTGATGATGTAGAGGGACTTACTGAAGATAAAACTTAGCCATGTTTAATCCGTTTGAAAATCTCTATCTCAGGATGAATTTAAAAAGTCATGTTTGTTGTTTTAAAAGGTTAAATCCGATTTATTTCTCCCAATTCCGATCCTTTCAAAAACACGTGATTGGGCCCGATTCCCAATCACGTGATCGGACCGGAGCATCCCTAGTACTTTTTAAAGTTGTACACTGTAATTTAGAAATTACAGGCATTACTTTGATTTTACAAACTATTTTTTCTAAGCAGAATCTCTGAAAAGCAGCAACAGATATCTTCTGGAGTTCCAAACCTTTACAGAGTGTGTTTGCGTGATTTATAAATGTTAATACAGACATGAAATTAATTAATGTAAAGTAATCGCAAATAAACGTGAAACTGTGGTTATTTCTCACACTATGATCTTGTACTAAAATGTATAATTGTTGCAACCCTAGTCGTCACAAAGCAGCTGATATTCATGAACCTGCATGGCCACGTTTCACTTTCACTTCAACATGCGTGTCTCTTATAGGAATTGTGACAATAACCTCTTCTGGAGCACTACAATAAATATCTTTTATGCTTTCTGATGTTTCCAGATTTTCAGAATATTTCCTAACAACTTGATCTGTAATACTTTTCTAATAAATCCTGCTGGTTTGTTTTTCTCAGCAGAGTGTGTCTAAACCTCACGGTATAAAACGTTTTGTATTTAGCAGAAAATCACATTGATGGTTCGTTTTTCAAATTATTTCAACAGTTTATTGTCACAATAAAAATATGCATGTATGTAATCTGAAGCTTGCAAGGACATTGTCCTACATGGGTCAAAAATGTCCCACGTCTGTCCGTCTGGCAGGTTTCTGAGCGAATGAAGTGATTTAACAGTAATATTAGAACAACCCGGTAAACAAGGGTTCATTTAGTAATGTTGTGTTTGTCCATAATAAGCCTGTATGGCAAATCATTTTAACATTTAATCAATAACACCTCTTTGCAATTCCTAATTTAAACACAATTAATATAATTTACCCTTGTTCCATGTACATTATTGAAAATAAAGATATGAACAAGTAAAGACTATATTTAGGGATATTCATGAAAATAACTGTAGAATCTCACTTGAATAAATGTGTTAAACGAAGCCCCGACCATTTGTCAACAGTTAAACCTTTTTGTCTTTTTACTGAAACTCAAAAGAGACTGTTGGGCAAATCTAATTAAGGATATTTTAGAAGTTTTAAACTGTAAATTAAAAATTACAGGGATGAATTGGATTTTACAAACGATTTTTTATGCAGAATCTCTGAAAAGCAGCAATAGATAACTTCTAGAGTTCAAAATGTAATGTAAACACTTTATAGTGTGTGTGTGTGTGTGTGTGTGTGCAAATCGTTATTGCACTGTGCAGAAAACAACAAATAATGGAATTTGATTAACAACACAGAACGAACGTACCAAAGATGCTAACCAGACAATTCCCTGTAGCAGGGGCACTGTCAGCAAGTGCCCCAAAGGGAATAAGTTCCGCTGATTGGCTGCAAAACTTGGTGAACAGGTAATTCAATCATTGATTCAGGAATGCTGAAGCAGGAAACAACTAAATCCTGCAAGATGGTGACCCTCGAGGACCAGGATGGAACGCCTCAGAGCTAAAGTGTGGTAGGAAATGGGATGAAATGAACGTCACTCACTTCTTGGTTCGTTCAGAGTGACAGACTCGATGAAGTTCAGCGGTGTCATATAGAGCTGGCCTTCGTACTCCACTGAACTGAAGAGACGGAACCTGTTTTCATAGGATGACATGTAAACATCTCGGTCATCTAGATCGTAGGTCCTCACCTGCAAGCAAACAGAAACAAGCTGAGACACAAAATCACAGAGGTGCCGGAAATAAACAATCGCGTCCGGATCGAGATTCTCCTTTATAAAGATGCATCGATTTATGTCCGAAACCCTTTAACTGCTGTATTTCCAAGCATCCCTGAACGCATCGTCACTGGAGCTGGCCACCAGCTGCGCTCCTACGCTGCAATCTGCTGAATTACAACAGACTTACGTTTCTTAATATCCTGTGTGTATGTTTTCTGTGATTCAGGAAGTAAGTTCCATTGTGTTTGATAATGTTTAAATGGTGTTATCCTGTTTGATTGAGCGTTGTTGCATGCCAACTGCACCGTGCATAACTGACACATCTTCAGACTAATTATAGTGCCGGTTAGTCTTTGTGCTCAATGATAAATATTAGAGGTGTTGAAAAAAATCGATTCAAGTCTGAATCGGGATTCTTATTTATAAAGGTTCAGAATCGATTCACAAAGGTTCAGAATCGATTCACAAAGGTTCAGAATCGATTCCAAGAACTCAAATATTTGGCGCGTTACAGGTTTGAGATGCACGTTTTTGATCTTTGTTAGGAGAGTCAGTACTCCCATTACTTTTGTGCTCCCATAAATTGAGATGATTTATGTTTGAAGCTGCTGATAAGAGGGCACTTGAATGTCATTTTTTTCCATACTCAGAAATTTTAGATATTCTCATATTTATTTTCTAGGTTGATAAATGAGTACTCAGGATTACTCATGTAACTTGTTTCTACACATACTTGAAAAGTATTTGACCGTATTACTTTCAAAGCTACTGTTAGGTAACTACAGATGTGTTATATTTTACAAGGTAAGAAAAATAAATGTTGTCTTTTGGTCAAAAGATTGTTTCTGTTTACAGTTTTAGAATCACTTTAGTTTACCTTGTAAATTTGCATTTTTGGAGCACGACCAGTTTAAAGTCTAATAAAAATGTCCCATAGCTTTAACTAACTTGTACAACAAAGTAGTTCATCCTGGAGCCGACACTCTTTGTTAATACTGATTGTGAATCGATTTAAATTGAGAATCGATTCTGAATCGAATCGGCACCCCAAGAATAGGAATCAAATCAAATCGTGAGTTGCTCTAAGATTCACATCCCTAATCGATATTACTGGTTTATGTGAATGCATGCTACTGGATATAAAACCTGTTTATTAGTTTTAAATGTTTCGCAATTTATTCTCTTTTCTTCTTCCCGCTTCTTCAGATCATTTACTCATTAATAATGTACAAACATCTGGCCTCTGACTGGCTAACAGCTGTATGACTCTTCTACTGCCTCCGTTCACTCTTCTTTCCTGGGTACATAATGCAACACTGATGTTTTATCTCCACTAATAACACAAGCCTGAACATGGGGTTGCTAACGGTTAGCTTCTACTGGTCGAGACACGCTCTGCTCTCCTTTTCCAGGGTAACAGGCCGAAGTGGGTGGAACCATGAATGCTAATTTTCTCTGTGATTTAGAAGACTGGCTCTTTCTCACGGGGTCGAAGTGAAATCTCACGTTCAGCATGCATGTGAAACTCAAGAGTTGCCGATTGTATTTTACAACAAACAAGTGTCACACGGTCTTTAAAGAGCAAGTCACCCCCTTCAAGAAAGTTAAGGCCCTGTCCACACGTAGCCGGGGATCTGCCAAAATGTAGATATTTTTCTACGTTTTGGCCTGTCATCCACACGAAAACGGAGTTTTTTCACACGAAAACGGATCTTTTTAAAAACTCCGGCCAAAGTGAAGATCTGCGTTTTCTCCGTTTTGGGTGTCTGCGTGTGGATGGACAAAACCGGAGTTTTAAGGTCCGCAACGTCACTTTCCGCGACAAAAAAATGCTGACATCGCGTGTGCGACCTGTGTTTACACTAGCCGGCATCATGGATGCCCTCGGAGCTGCGCTCTGTCACTACCCGATCCATCAATTGATCAATTGTCCAAGCGCTTTTTGCTTGTTTGTTTTTGCAAGCGGAATTACTGCTCCTTGCGGAAGACCACAGACGAAGGACGAGGTTAAGAACGGGGGAAGTACTGCCGCCTACAGGTCTGGCATGTCCTTACCAACGTATTTATCCGGGTACATGTGGACAGTTTGTTTTTAAAACGCGGTGGTGTGGATGCAAGTTTTTGGAGGGGTGGATATTCGTTTTTTTTAAAAACCCGGCTACGTGTGGACTAGGCCTTACTCTCCTCCCACTTCATGTTTGAAAAATGCTACAAGTGCTGTTGCCTGGCAGACCGAGAGGGCGGAGTCGCTAACAAATAGACACAAACAGTCTCACAATAGCATTGTGACATCATAATATACCAGCTAACGTCATTGTGTACCTAATAGCCAATAGCTGTGGCAGATTTAAATTCAAATGCAGTGCAGTTTTGACCTGTGGAGGACACAACACTGACGGTTTTAGGCAGAATATTTCAAGTTGCACTAAAGTGCCAAGTTATGGTCTACACATGTCTACAGCACGATTAGACTCTCGTTTTTATAGTTTATCAGCAAAAAACTGTTGATCTGGGGGTGACTTGCTCTTTAAATATGCTTTTGGTGGAAACTTGTCACGAAAATTCTCGTTCACATGGCACAACAAAGAGGGCTCCTGCTTTAAGTCTGTAATGGGTTGCATGTAATGCCGGCTCTATTTTTCATCCCTGTGGAGCAGATAATGTCCTACAACCAGCCAGATCAGAAGACCAGGTTGGTGAAGACAGAGTGGATCTTTCCATCAGGTGGCACACTGCCAGGTCCACTGGGCACACAGCAAACACCCAGGGAATGTGCCCCCCTCCTCCACCTCTGCTTAACCATGAACCCCCTCCCCTAATCACCCATCCCTCTTCAAATATCAGCCTCTCTGCAAAGCCAAAGTATCTCATTTCTTGTGTCCCAGGACAGATTTAGTGTGAGGACACGTGTCAAGGTTCCCTCCCTCCTACCAAGAGGTTTCTACAGGGAATTACGTGTGAACAGCAGACATGCTTTACTTGTTAAGTCTATATCCACTAAGCATTATCAACACATGTCTGAGCTAAAGTGCTGATGTTGTATATCAGGGCAACATGGCTGATTAAAATAGCACCTCACTCAGAATCATGTATGAAGCAACCATTTGAAATACCACATAATCTAACCTGGGGCTGGACAATCATTCAATAAGGATATATTGTATATCTATCGATAGACGTGTGGTGAGATAGGAAAACAACTAGGGATGCACCAAAAATTCGGCCGCCGAAAGTTTTCGGTCGAAAATACAGAAGAAAATATAATTTCTATAGCACCTCTCAAGATAAAAATCACGAGGCGCTTCACAAAAACAAAGCATGTAAAAATATAATAAAGAATTTAGAAAATGATTAAAATATATTTAAAATGAGCAAAAAATAGACAATTGTGATTAAAAAAATGTTAAGAAAGAGAGAGAGTGAACAGGAAAGAGGGACATCAGTGGATCCTGAGGAAGGTGGAATATGTGGGGAGAGCAGAATAAAGAGAGAGAGGTGAAGAAGGTCATACAAAACCAGCTTGAACAAGTGAGTCTTCTGCTGCTTTTTAAAGGAGACCACTGAGTCCACTGATCTCAGGCTCAGGGGGAGAGAGGTCCAGAGTCTGGGGGCCACAGCAGCAGATGATCTGTCACCTTTGACCTTTAGCCTGGTGCTGCACAACCAGTAGGCTTTGATCACTGGACCTCAGGGACCTGCTGGGGGTGTAGGGACTGAGAAGATCACCAATGTAAGATGGTGCTTGTCCATGTAAGGCCCTATAGACCAGAACCAGGATCTTGAAATGAACCCTGAAGTTGACTGGCAGCCAGTGAAGCTGGAGGAGAAGCGGGGTGATGTGGGTGTGTTTGGAGGACTTGGTCAGAAGCCGAGCACAGGCGTTCTGAACCACCTGTAGACGGTTCAGGGAGGTTCTGCTCAGACACGTGAAAAGAGAGTTACAGTAGTCTAAGCGTGAGGAGATGAAGGTGTGGAGAACTGTCTCAAGTTCAGAGCGGGACAGAATGGGACTCAGCTTAGCAACGTTCCTGAGATGGAAGAAGGAAGAGCCAACAAGAGAACTGACATGAGAATCCAGGGTGAGAGCTGGGTCAAAGGTCACGCCAAGATTCCTGACAGAAGGTTTGGTGTGGGAAGCAAGCTGACCAAGAGTCTCTGACTTTGGGAACCAGCTTGTCTGGAGCACAGATGAGGATCTCAGTCTTATCTTCATTCAGCTGTAGAAAGCTCCCACCATCCAGGTTTTGATAGAGTCTAAGCAGGTGTGGAACCGTGAACCAAAAGTGCATTTTTGGTTTTCAGTCAAAACACCAAAATCACCAAAAGAACACGGCCGAAACGGGCCGTCAGGTGAACCCGTTTCGTTTCATCCCTCATGTGACAACTTGCTCTTTGCTTTATAACAACAGTACATCCGTACTGGTTTCAGAAGTAAAGTTTTTCACTTTCAGTAATGATGTTTTATTACAAACGTTGGAATATTCTCATCAATTATGTGATGCATTTTTTCTTATTTCAGTTTCACATCTACACGGCTTTTTGTTTTGTTTTTTTTTACATTCCTGCTGCATCTGTCACTGTTAGCTGTGTTTTTACCATCCTTTCTACAGCCACCATGTCCTGAACACAGTGAAATAAGCTCTGGATCGTGTGTGTGAAGTGTGTTTACTCTCATGAAGCACACAGACGCCATCACTGCGCGCAACAGCAGCATCACCTTCCTCCTTGCTGACCAAGTGAATATCTTCATCAGACTTTGGCCATTCTCTGTAGGCCATAACGATAGTTTACAGACCGTTTATATGATAGAAAGACAGCAGCAGCTCAGAAAACTACAGCTTCCTACCAAGGTCAGCAGAACAGCATCTCTGAACCACAACATGTAGAACCTTGAAGCAGGTGGACTCCAGCAGCAGAAGACCACACCAGGTGTCTCTCCTGTTCGCCAAGAGCAGGAAGCTGAGGCAACAATTCCCAAAACCTTTACTGGTATGGATTTCAGCTGCAACATTCTTATGGTCAGGTCAGAATCTGGTGTCACCAACATGAAAGCATTGGTCCATCCTGCTTTGTACCAATGCTTCTGCAAGTTGATAGGGGTGTAATGGTGTGGGGGAGATGTTCTTGCCCCACTTTGGACCCCTTAGCCCCACCTTCCCACCTGAGTCTGATTTAAACACCAGTCTACCTGAGTTTTGTTGCTGACCATGTCCGTCCCTCTATGACCACATGGACCCATCTTCTAATGGCTACATCCAGCAGGATGATGCACCACGTCACAAATCCCAGATCATCTCTAACTGGTTTCTAGAACATGAACAAAAGTTAAATGGACTCCAGTGATCTTTTAACCCTTTCAACAATCACCAGTCAATCTAATTTAGCTTTTTATATGTGGTAGAAAAGGACATCTACCGTATGAATGCTCAGCTGATTCATCTGAAATGTTTCAAGCACCTTGTTGAATCCGTGACAAGAGGAATATCCATGCATGTAAGGAAGATAAACGGGGTCTGGCCTGGTACTAGGGATAGGCAATATATCCATATTTTTAAAATATCAATATAATTTCAAGTAAGAAAGAGATGACTCAGTATCATTTTTATTGATATAAAAATACAACCAGTGTATTTTTAGAGTACCACTATCTGCTAGCTGTCATTACATGTATTCTCATGTGTGTGCTTGATTAGGAAACCTCTGGGTCAATGTTGTGCCCTAATCTTTACATTTGGCTTAGTGGCTTTTAAATATTTGGGGACGTTCATTCCTGTTTTTGCTAAACTTTTCACCATGGCTGCTGAGATGATTTGTTTATCCTGCTTGTGTGGAGAGACAGGCCAAAGCCCTCCCCTGTGTAAACAGGAAACAGCTACAGAGAACTGCTGATTCATTTATGTATACAATTTATCAAGACAGCTTGAAGCGAGTTAACTTGTAAGTATTTTACAGGAAATGTATCAAGATATATATCGTATATCGGAATGCAGCTAAAATAGCTCGCGGAGTACAGACGCTTCTCTCTTCGCTCCCTTATCTTTTTTTTCCCAAGGCTCTTTGTCCTGTCTGCCCACAGAGCGCTTCTCTGCATTTCTTCTGAAAAACTCTATTTTTAACCATGGATTTGATAAAATGGTCAATCAACACGATTGATACGATTTTTTTCAACAATGAGAACGGAGCAGGGGGCTCCCACATGTCCACAGGGGACACACCCGGTGGGATATATGCTGGATACCTGGAGGGAATGGAAGATCATATGCCTCTCCCAGCTGTCCATTGAGGATATCGAAGACGTGTGGATATTCGGCCTGATGATCACTGGATTTCTCCTGATTGGAGTGGGAGGATATCTGGTTTTCTGGAAATTTGGGAAGACGGGAGCGATTGGAGGGCGACCCGCACCCACGGAAAGCACCTTCCGTGTGGAGACTTCACAGACCGGGACGTTACTCGAGGTGAATCGTAAGCTGGACACTGTTCTAGCTGCGATACCGGCATTAGTGCGCAAAATGGATGTCATCTTGGAGAGTCACCGGACGGTGTGGACAAGTTAAAAATATATATATATATATTGGCTTCACTGAAGGACTGGAATGATCAGTTTAAAGACTGAAGGCAGAGAGGAAAGTTATCTCAGCCTGACCCAAATAAATTCTTGTTACCTGAATCTGACGCCCTGGTAGCCTTGAGCTGCAAGCAACTAAACCCCCCACGAAGGAATGCAGACAGATGCTGTGAAAACCCGACCGGGCCGATATTAACAACCAATATTTTTCCATCTCGTCTCTATATGTTTGCCTGTTTCAGAGGGTGAGGGAGGTGATGTGTATTGGTTTAGTCATGTGAACAGTGAATGAAATCATCTCAGAACCGTAAATGTGTGTGGTGTGTGTGCATAATAACATAAAGTCAGCTTTAATCATTTTCATTTTATACACATTCTGCTAATTTTAGAAACATTAATGTCAGTATATCGGTATCGGCAAATATCGGTTATTGGCCATTACGGTGATCTTAATATCAAATATCGTTATCGGCCCAAAAATTTTCATATTGGTGCATCACTAAGCTAAAATATATCAAAAAGTTTTGGTCCATGACGCCCTGCCCTGGTACCAGTAAGGTGTACCTAATAAAGTGGCCAGTGAGTGTTTGTCTCCTTATTCACTCTTTTTGTTTTTACACTGAGTGAAAACAGGAATTTACACGCGAGGTTCTGAACTGTAACCAAATCAAGCAGAACACCACTTTTGTCACGTGACCCAATATGCCTGTGGCCATTTTTTGCCACTTCAGCACCAAAGGTCTCGGATAGCTCCCAACAAACTACAATAAAGGCTAATTATAGCTGTAGCTAACAATGACGGTGGTCGTTCATCAGAAGCATTTAGCATGTTTAAAGGGTTTTACTCTTTGTCTGTTCTGGACGCCGTCGTCAACACGTCATCATACCTTATCGGTGGCGGAGACCGACGGCAGAACCAGGTGCACGAGCCGAGCCTCGACGTGGCTCTTCAGTCCGGACCGCCGAGCCACGAACGAGCCTCCGCCGCTGCGGTAGTAGTAGTAAGCGGCCCCGGCCGCGGCGGAGACGCACACTCCCGCTGCGACAGCTCTCAGCGCTCCGGTGGCCCGGGAGGATGGTGTCGGTGTCCCTGCCGCGAAGCTTCTGGAGCCGGAGAGGAAGAACCTGCGCAGCGCGGCCATGACTGTTTACTGTCCGGTGAAATCACGCAGCGCAGCTGGGCAGAGCCGCTCCGAGCTCGCGAGAAATGCCGTGGGTTCATACGGGAGGACGTCCAATTAGTTAAAGTACAACAACTACCTGAAGCTCTCCCTTTTTAACTTAGCCTAACTGTTTAGAGTCAAGTCAGCTACTATTTCTGTGGTTTTTGTTTGAAGTTTTAAAAAACGAAGTTTTGTTTTAAACTCTGTCTCCTGTGGGATATGACTTTTATTCTGAGCTTCAGGAGAAGGGGGGGACCAGCACCCTGCCAGGGCACGTCTGAACTGTGGCTGCCCCGCCCATTGCTCGTCCTGTGGGCTTGCACCTGCCTCACCACCCTCACCACTTAGAGCTGAAACCTCCAGGAGCCGCTTCACCTGCGCTGCAGCCTTCGCCGAGCCCCTCTTCTACCTGAATCCGCCTCCTGACGCCACCGATCCAGGCATCACCGAGGACAGGTATGAGCAGCACCCAACTGCAGCCCACCTTCATCTGATGAAGACTCAGCGGGGAGGAAGAGGAGGAGGAGGAATCGGTGCAGCCCGCAGCTGAGATTTCCTCTTGGTGAGTGTTCCGTGCGTGTTTTGCGCCACGGGAGACGTGTATGCGCTAAGTAACGGAGAGACGGGGACGTAAACATGCTGTAAAAGACATCCAAGGTGCCAACCACAGGAAAGAGCGCTCCCACCGGAGCGGACGGGACTGGACCGGACCGTGCCAGACTAAACTTTACCCGCCGGGCTCTCTGACGCCATGGCCGCCGCTCCTGTCGCTGGCACTCTGGGGGAAGTTGGAGGCGTCCTGCACGGCATCGACGGGGTGGTTCACGTCGGGGCCCACTTCTACCTGACACCCCCCGGGGACAGTCCGACCCCGCGGGGGGAGCACCTCTTACCTTTCCCCAGGTATGAGGTAGCGGATCTACCGCACCTGAAAGGGATTCTCAGGAGGAGACAGCTGTACTGCAGAACTGGGTTTCATCTGGAAATACTTCCGGATGGTTCTGTGCAGGGGACGAGGAAGGACCACAGCCGGTTTGGTAAGATAGGCTGATAATTCTCTAAAATAATGCTCATGTAACATCTAAACATGTCAGGAGTGCAGATGCGTGAGCTTCTTCGCATCTGAACAACTGTTCAATTCTTCTGCAGGTATTTTGGAATTCATAAGCCTTGCTGTTGGTTTGATAAGCATTAAAGGAGTGGACAGCGGGCTCTACCTGGGGATGAACGACAAAGGAGAGTTGTATGGCTCTGTAAGTAACTCATCTGTTCATCCACATTCCCTTCAACGTCGACTGGAAGTAACCGCTGACGTGCTCCATTTTTCTTTTTAGAAAACACTCTCAGCAGAATGCGTCTTCAGGGAACAGTTTGAGGAGAACTGGTACAACACCTACTCATCCAACCTGTACAAGCATGGAGACAAAGGGACACGTTATTTTGTGGCATTAAATAAAGATGGAACACCAAGGGATGGGACTAAATCCAGGAGACACCAGAAGTTTACGCACTTCTTGCCCAGGCCTGTGGACCCGGAGCGGGTGCCTGAGCTGTACAGGGATATCCTGGGACACAGCTGAGAGTCAGACGGCCCGGTGGCCCGGATCAGGAGTAGCTGCTTAAAGCCCCTGGGGTGCAGGGAGCAGAGAACGAGGGACGAAGGCGAGAGACAAGGCCAGCGCAGACTGGTGGACAGCCGCCCTAACAGCGGGGATCAAGGCACCGGGAGGGCCTCCTGTAGGAATGCACCAAGCCATCTCTCAGCAGCCACCAAGACAGGCTAGAATGCCTCGGCAATGAGGGGCTCGTTTGTTTCAGGGGCCGGACGACCCAATACCTGGAGACTAAACGGAGCTGATTGGTCCTTGGAGCATCTCCTCGGTTGTCTGCAGAACAGAGACGTCAGCTGAGTTCGTGGGAATCGGAACATTTCCACACGGAGCGGGAGATTTTGTTGAAGGAGTTCAGTTTGTACCTGTTCACACCTTTTAAAAAACAAAAGTGTATTTATTCCTTTTTAGATACACATATTTATGGTATATATTTATTTATTTGAGGATATATTTTTACAAGTAGAATCAGAAAACAGAATAGAAAAACCACTTGGAACTGTAACAACTATATCAAGACTGTATTTTTATGCTCTTTGTTTATGAAAAACCAAGCTTACCCAGTGATATCCTGTAATACCACCCGTAATATTCAAATTTTTAATGGATCTCCAGATCAAACACTTTTTATTATGACATTGCAACTGTGATTCCTTTTGTCTGCGTTGTTTATCTTTTTAATATTATAATTTTAGCCAGACTGCTGTTACACATCTCCTAAAACCAATCTGAAGTAAACACAACAACTTCTGACGTTCGCCTGATCCGAATTCCATTTATTTGGTCAGAAAATGGGTTTTGGGGTGAATCAGAAGCCAACTTCACCTTTTGCCAGACTTTAAACAGCGCCGTACTTTAGTGGTTGACTTTGCCTTTCAGAGTTCAAACATATAAAACCCTCTTACGAGACCAGTGTTGTCTTTTTTTATGGACGCCATTACGCCAACAGAAAAATCGTAGACTTGGTGCACGCATAAAACTTCAAAGTCTCCCTGCAGAACGCCGTGAACGAGTGGGCCGTGCACCGACTTCAGCAGGGCCAAATAAAATCTGACCTTTAGCTCTGGTCCTGCAACTCTTAGCAGATGAATAAAAAGATGGAGGTCAGCGCGATAAGGATCAAGTAGCCTCTGCAGACAGTTCGAGGGCAGTTGGTGACTCAGTGGGTTAAGCCAGCGATGGTGATGCTAACTAGGCCGTGTTTGCCTTTTCACGTTGAAGTGTATCACAGAGCAGCTCTCTCTTCATCTCCCGTCATTTGAAATGTGCCTGATTGGAGGCTGGATTTGTCATTTATTTCATCGAAGCCACATTCTCATGTCTGTGCACGGTTTTCTTCACGGCTGAGAGCAGATCTGTGTTAAAGCATGAAAGTTCTGTGTGTGTGTGTTGATATGGATAGACAGCCTTGCTGCCAAATCTCCCATCTTTGGGACTTTCCCACCTGCACACCTCAATGCTGCTGCTGTTGATTAATGACAGCATCCCAGAGTGTATTATAACCTGCACACACCTGGACATCCCCTGTCCAGCGACTAAACAGGCCTATTAAGACCCAGTTGTCGCTGCGGTGACTTTTTTATTTATTTATTTGATTCACTAAGGAAGGCCTGGACAAGATGGTGGCTTTGTTGCAGGTTAGGACCAGTCATGGAAAAGTTCCAAAGAATCCAGAATTTAAGTAGGTTTGCATATTTGTACAAAATAAAATGAATCTGTGGTTTAAGATGAGATGCTGTACCAACATGCTTTTTCTTCATTAACAGCTACGTGTGTTGAGTGCAGTTTCTAAACACTCCAGAGAAAAGTGAAGAGTCGTGGTGTTCTGAAGATTATTGCAAAAGTGAGACAAAAGGTCAATACGAGGGTCATTGAAAGGATGCAGATTTTACATACATTTGCTGTGGTCTCTAGTATGAATGATTATGATTTGGTTTCTATGGGGGAAAAAAGCTCTGGCGCTCCTGTTGGAGGTAGAAGTTTGTCAGAGGAGTGGGTCCATAGACATGAATACGTTGACACCCCATTGGACACTGGAGAGCGTAACAGCGTTGTCGCCATATAGGATGAGCCTCTCACTCTCCAAAACCAACTGGAGTCCACTCAGAGTGAGCAACTGTGCTAGTAGTGGTGTAGCGGTTGAAACAACTGGCGTTCTATTGAAAACCGATGACGTGGAATCATTATTGACTATTCTAGCCTGCCTGTTTGGATTTTATATTTTAATTTATTTTGTTTAATTATATTTTTATTTTAATTATCAAACCATGTGTCTGATTTTGTGAAAAAGCATAATAAAATGAGCTTGTCAGTTGGGCTAACACCTTCCTCAGTAGAACTGAATGCGCTGGAGGCAAATGGAGACCCATCCAAGATGGTGGCCGGCCACTACGGCAGCTCCAGTGGGCAGCACCATTCCACGGGGCGTCTACTTATATGGTGTGTGTGAATGGATCAGCAGTAAATGACAAGTTAGGGAGTCTTACTCATTAATATTCATGATTTGCAAACATCTTGCCTCTGATTGGTTAAATGTAACACATCTCTTTACCCGCTTTCTTTGACAAAACTAAGAACACCTTAAAACATGTTGTGCAATTTTGATTTTTTCTATCCACTAATATGACAAGCCTGAATGTTTTTGCCACATTATGCAGTTGCTAATGCTAATGGTTAGCTTCTGCTAGCTGAGATGCACTCTGCTCACTCCTGGATGCTAAATCAACACAGCAGGTGGGCGGGGCCATGAATGCTAACTCTCCCTGTGATGTAGAAGAGACTGGCTTTTTCTGATCCGATTGTTTTCCCGTCTGTTTCCTTTCGGAGGCTAATGCAGGGGATGGGGGACGAGGACTATGTTCACATTCAGCATGCGTAAGCAGCTCGGGGTGACACTCAGTGTACGGGAACTTTAACAGTATTTTTTAGGTAGATTTGGGGTTATGTTAGGAGGTTTGAGGTGTAAAAAGGGAGTTTTGCAATAAGCAACAATATCAGTATTTTTCTGCTCTTGATTTAGAGAAATGCATGGTGGAGATTCCCACGTGGTGAACGGATGAGTGTGTGAACCTGTTCATTTGCGGCTGCATGTTTTTGAAGGTGAGAAGAAAAATGTGTAAATGATAAAATCCCACAGTGGTGGCAGATTTTGTAGCTTTATTGCATTTTTCAACAATTACTTCACAATTGAATATTTATTCTAACATCATGCAGCCTCGATCTATGTAATGTTTTTGTTCCTGACAGCAGGAAAAAAAACTTCTATTTTAGAAAAACAAAGAAGTTGTAAATCAGAAGGTGAATATCTGACTCTCACATAACTTATGAGTTACAGCAGGGTCAGGAAACCCCTGAAATTCAGTTTTCTCTTGTAGTTTGGTGTTCACCCCATAATTTACCTGATGCCTCCATCTGGCCACCCCTTTTAAAACATTTCTGTATCCCTGCTTAAAAGAGAAACCAAAAAGGGGTTTTGTTTCTTTTTGTGCTTCAGCAGAAGTTATGCGATCTCCAAAAAACAAGTGTGAATGGTGAGATTGCCTCCGTATTACAATCAGACAGTAAATCAAGACTTCGTTTGGGTCATCCCTCTGAACAAACTGGACCTGATCTGATGCCACGAAGCGCTGCTCTGACACCTGTTCAACTGATGCTTTTGGACCTCGCCCACCTTCTCTCCTCCTCCTCCCCCTGCAGGTGATCTGTAGCTTCTCAATGAAAACATTTAAACCCTCATTCCCACCCGGCTCCTGTGGGCCATCTCAAACTGTTATCAGACACTCCCTGACTTTCAGCGCCTCCTTACAAGCCTCTCAAGGAAACCAATTCAAGTGTGTGTGTGTGTGTGTGTGTGTGTGTGTGTGTGTGTGTGTGTGTGTGTGTGTGTAGATTTATTCGTTTAAGACACGGCAGGTGTGGAAGTCAGTGATCTTCCTCGTCTATCTCCACAGTCCGGCCAGCCAGCGCAGGTGTTCCCTCAGCTCTCGCGCTCTGATCTCAGACCTGCTGTTTGCCAGATGGAGATGTGACTTAGCTGCACAGGGAGGAGGAGGGTGGAAATATTGCTGGCTTTGTTGTCTGTCCCCAATTATCAGGGAGCATAATTTCTATATTTAGAAGACTGTGCTGGGGGAGGCAGGGGAGGTGCCGAGAAGCTCACCTGTTGCTTTAAAGCCGTGGCCACTTCTAAGAGTGTGTTTGCACAGAGATGGTGTCTGCAGCTTTGTGTCACCGCAATCCTGCAACTATTGATTTCAGGCTCTTTGTTGTTTGCTTATTCCTTAGTAAATTGCTGTGCGCACAAATTATTAGCTGCACATGTGTTTATGGGGATTACAGCAGAAGTGTAAGTATAGCATCATCCACTTGATACTTTTGGGCTTTAATCTGAATCCAGAGAGAAGCGATCTGGAAAAATCTTGTGATAACGTTCCCAAAAATCATCCCAATCGTTTCTTATGTTTACCACCATTGCGTAGGAAAATATCTGTCACACTTTGGAAGCTAAAAGTTGTATTTTGGGGGTTTATTTGAAATTGGACCAGCACACCTGTTTTACACATCATACGCCATCAGCTGCTGCGGAACATCTCTTTTGTTTCATCTCCATCGAGACTTTGGCAGAAGCGGTGATGTAGGTGTGCACAGTGACAGACCTCGTTGTTACAGCTACAACTAGAAGACAGGGCAATGACTGGCTCTTTTGTTTAACTAAGAGAGATCTGAACACCCAGAGAAGAGCATCAACAGCGTGTTCTTATGAGAAGCATTGCTGATTTAACGTTAAACACTTTCTAATGCACCAACTCGGGTCATTTAAAGTTGGGAAACGATGGTAACACTTTGACATTTCATAGAGCACGTTCACTGAGAAACCCTTTTGTACTTGTTATTTGTACTTTAACGTGCAGGACGAACACGAAAAAAATCTAATCTGCATTAGCAGCTGAATAGACGGGAAACGCTCAGGTTAGAAAAATTCGCACAGATCTACGCTCTAAGTTAGCATATATGGACTCACCCGTGTTGGCTCGTGACAAGGAAAGGCTGTTGTTGACTTAGCATCCAGGAGAGAGCAAAGCAGGTGTTAGAAGCTAACTGTTAGAATTAGCAACTCCGCCACACGGCAGAACTCCTTCAGGTCTGGTATTTGTGGAGACAAAAAATCAGTGTTTTGGAGCAGTCAGAGTGAGTGGTACAGCTGTATTTCTGTTAGCCAATCAGAGGCGAGATGTCCAAACTTCTCAATCTAATAATAATGAGTAAAACTCCAAATCCTGCGGCTTTCCGTTCCCCTCTCCTCGACAAACTTCCTGAAACAGGAGCGGAAGAGCATTTTCTCTCAGAGAGGTCGGCTCAGTCTATTCATTTATACTAGAGACCACTGCAAATGTATTAAAGGGACAATTAGCAACATTTTCATATTTTTTAAATCATTTTCTTGAGCCAGGATGTGCTAAAATGACCCAACAGGGTTATTGAAAGGCCACCCAGCCTCTATCGCCCTCTGCGGCCGCATTTGTAACATCACGGTTGCCAATCCGGTCTGCAGGGAATTGAGCTGACCTACCTGACGCTGCTGTCTGGTTCCAGCACATTTCCTGCATGTTTTAGATCATGAACACAGCAGATTTGTTTAATTGAGTTATGAATCGCTCCCCTTGACACTTCGGGAACACTGGGAGATGTTTCAGCTGTTAGATTAAGGTGTCCAAAAGATGAACGCACAGCGAGGAGAAAGTTTTGCTTCTACAAACG